AAATTCATTTCTATCACTAAATAGAACAAAAATAGAAATACTTTCAGATACATCTATTTTTTATTTTATTTCTTTCAATGTTGTGGACAATTCTTATGATTCCAACAGCTTTTCTTATGTCCGACGCATTGTCCTAGCAAGTGGAAACCCTATACTCTAATATGTTCTTAAATAAAAACTTTTTAACAAAAAAATAAAAACCGACTTCAAACAAAAGCAGTAAAAAGTAAAAAATAACTGATTGGTAGTTTTCATTTACTATACATACCTAATCAAATATTTTCGAAGTCGGTGTGCTTTGCTTTGTATGGGCTGGCACCGATTTCGAAAATCTTTGATTAGGTATGTATTTAATAGGTAGGCTTTAATTACTTAGCCAAAGCACACCGACTTCGAAAATATTTGATTAGGTATGTATAGTAAATGAAAACTACCAATCAGTTATTTTTTACTTTTTACTGCTTTTGTTTGAAGTCGGTTTTTATTTTTTTGTTAAAAAGTTTTAATTTTTCCCTTTTTAGTGTAGACAGTAGTAGCAAAGTAAGGATTCTAACGTGTTAGGCTTGTCAAATCAAACAAAATAAGCCCAAACTCAAAGTATCTACTATTAGCCGTTGAAGAGTTCCACCTATCCACCTTCTGGCCTTGCCATCAGATCAGGTCAACAACACCGAACCATTGTACTATCAACGGAAATAGAAATACTTGCAAAGTTTCAAGTCAATATGACAATTATAAGTAGGTTAAATTCATCATTAGTTGTTTTTCCACCCTTGGGGTGGTTTTTTTTTTTTTTGAAATTTAAATGGGACCAATCTGGAAGTATACCCTTTCAAACAAAACAAAAATTGTCCAAATCGAATTAATAAATGACGGAGTTCTGAGGTAACAAACATAAAAAAAAAACATACAGTCGAATTGAGAACCTCCTCCTTTTTGAAGTCGGTTGAAAAAATAACAACATTATCAAAATATTTTAAATAAAACTATCTTTTCGGATTATGTCGCGGTATTTTTTTTTTGTTTTTGTCTCAAACCTCAGCCAACATCGATCGATTGATTGATCGAAATCCGCAAAATAAGTCGAAAAAATAGTTTTATTTAAAACTAGCGACTCATCCTCGCTCCACTCGGGTTCGTCCCTACTTACGTTTTAGCGTTTAGTATAGATTTCTCAGAGATGAGATATTTTCCCGCAGTAAAAAGTATCGTGTATGTTGACTCGGATAACCAGCTATCATCATGCCAAATTTTATCAAGATCCTTACCGTGGTTTTTCCGTGATGCGGTAACAGACAGACAGACAGACAAAAATTCTAAAATCTATAGATTCAGTCTCTGTATCGATAATAATGTCCATTTCAATAAGATTTTCAAAAAAATATTTAATGTACAGATTCGACTTAGTTAACATTTTATTATATGTATATCTATGTCAAATATTCTAATAAATCTAAGACAGTATGTATTATCAAAATAATATTAACGTAAAATTATGCATTACTAAGTTGATTTATCTTATATCCCCTGAAGCTTTTAATTTAATTTGCATATTCTTAGAAAATTATTAGAAATTACCATTTGACGGAAATAATCAAATTAATTCATGTTGACGATATATTAAGTTAGTGTTACTTGCGAGGAAACTATTAAATGATCTTTGTTATTACGTGTCGTTCAAATAGCTTATAAACTCTCTGCAAATATTATTAAGACTCAGGACACCGCACTGAGATCTTGAGCTCTTCCTAGGTTCTATTATTTTTCAGCTTTAGACTTAGGAATAAAATAGACGGCGCGTATACAATAAATGAAGTCAACGTCAGAAAATACTTCGACGTTCTAATGCTATATTTATTATACTTCTGATGTTTTGCATTTTTATACTTTGCTTTTTCTTGCACGTACAACAAATAACGGTCCGCAAAATAGACACAATAGTTAAACAATCGAAATGTTCATATATGACTCATGGGACAGGGAAACAGTTAATACTATAAATGTGAAACTTTATGACATATTTGATACTAGCAGAACCCGCGGCTTTGCTAAAATTATAAAAAAACTAAAAAGATAGGTTTCATATAAACTGTCATCCCATATTTTACCCCCTTATAGGATGAATTTCAAAAAATGCAAAAATAAGTATTTATTTAATTGTATTGAAGATCATTTATACCAAGTTTCAAGTAATTCTGATCATAAATATTTTTTTGAGTTGTATTATTACATGTATTTCCGTGAGAATGAGATAATCTCCTGCGGTAAAAAGTAGCCTATATCACTCTCCAACAATCTCCACACAAAAAATATCGCCAATTCGTCACTCTGTTTCTACGTGAAAGAAGGATAAACAAACAAACAAACACACACACTTTCACATTTATAATATTAGTATGGATTAACACTGCGCTAGCTACTACTTACACCGGTGGTAGGACTCTGTCAAGCCTGAGGAGTCCGACTGGATGGGTACCACTCCCTCATCTATATCTCCGCCAAGCAACAAATTACATTGTTGTGTTCCGGTTTGAAGGATAAAGTAGCCAGCGCAATTACAGGCAAGAGGCATATCATCTAAGTCCTCGCAGTGACAACGCACCTGCGGTTCTGCATTTTTGTAACATAAAACCTAAGTGCATGAACCGTAGGTGTTATGGGCGACAGGTACCGCTTTCCATCAGGTAGGCTGTCTACTCGTTTGTCACTGAATACTATAAAAAAATACTACTTTACAATGACTCAACGGATTTGAGTGAAATTCAAAGTGGAGATTTTATTTATTCTAGACCTCTACTTGTTATCCACAACATTACTAAGAGAAAGGAGACGTAGACGAACACAAGACATTAATATAATACATGAATTTTCATTACTAATGTTAAATCTTTTAAATTAATATTGAATCTTTTAAACAGCTCGCCAGCATTATTCCGCACATACAGAAGAAAGAATATATTAAAAATCATGTATACTCTATACATATCTATGCTTATGTTATAATTTAAAATTGGCTACGATATAATCAAGCTTTCATCATGATACCAAAGAACAAATATAAAAGCTCCTACGGAATGTACAATCGCACTATCTGATCGACAAGTATAAGTATATAATTTTAAGCAATGATTAACAAACAATGGAAAACGTGACTGTTATTCAAGATTTTCTTGTTCCGCAGCACAGAGCAGCAGCAGAGCTTTTAAATTGGTATCTGGTAAATGTGAAATAAGTCATATTTAATACGAGCTGTAGAGATTGTCGAATTAAATGATAAGTACTCATTTTTAAGTACCTAGCTTATTTTGTTGGTTATTAATTACTTCATTATAATATTGAAAGGCTACAGTTACTAAAATGTTAATGAATTTATTTTTAAGTGTTCGTATTTATAAAGGTGTACTTAAAAAATATCATTAGCTTCTACATAATGAAGGAAATGACAGATACATTTTTAAAGAGTTTAAAGATTTTTAACAAAATTGAACTGTTTATCGAAATATAATTTTATAATTTTGAACATTTAATGTTATTTAAAAATAACATTGTACCTATATCTATGCATATATAATAAAATTGTAACTATGCCGAATCTGTACATTAAATATTTTTTTGGAAAATCTTATTGAAATAGTCGTTATTATCGATACAGAGGCTGAGTCTATAGTTTTTAGAATTTTGGTCTGTCTGAATGTGTCTGTGACCACATCACGGAAAAACCACAGGAGGAATTTTAATGAAATTTGGTATGATGATAGCTGATTACCTTTTTTTTTTTATCGTCGGGAAATGCATTTACGCATACCACCTGATCCCCCAGGTGGTGATGTGGGGCTCACCGGCTAGAAGAGCCGGTACTACCCACTAAAACCCGACATCCCTTCCCCCCGCCTTAGTGGGACACCGCAGGATCGCTTGCGCATAACTACTACGGCGCCCCGGCGGCAGGTCTGCCTAAATACTAGGCAGACCACCAAACCAATGGGGCTGCTCCACAGTCAACTCTGCTACGTCAGAGAGGTACCCGGAGCAGCCCCATAAAACCAAAACACCGCCCACCGAAGTGGGCCACCTCCAATCGGCTGCAGAGAACAGGGAGAGCGGCAACGAAACACCGACACTCCTCTTCCCCTGCAGCCCCACCGCGTCCGCCATCAAACGGTGGCGGCCCCGTCTAGGCCGCGGAAGGTAGGGAGAACGGCGCACCGAAATACCGGCACTCCTCTCCCGCCGCGGCCTACCCCTCCGCCGAATGCGGGCCTGCGACCACAGTCCCGCAACCGGCACCCATCATCCGGTTGTGGGACCAAGCGGTCCCACCACCGGTGGCCGCAACGTCTTCGGCTCTAGGCCTAGACGAGCGGCCCCATCCAAGCCATTTGGTCCGCGCCGGATTTCTCCGGTACCACCCGCCCCTCTAAGCGGGTGGCATGCCCCTATCCGCCACCTGGGGACGCGCCCGGTAGGAGTTGGCTTCTCCCCCGGGATGATAGCTGATTACCTGGGTCAATATATAGGATACTTTTTATTGCGGGAAAATATCTCATCGCTAAGAAATCTATATAGTAAACGTTAAAACGTAAGTAGGGACGAATCCGAGTCCTCCGTCCTCCGTGAGTCGCTAGTAAAAAATTTACATAAAAATAATACCTTTATGTCAATTTTTCTACCTATGCACTATTTTACTAGACTCGTTAACTCGTATTTTGTTAAAGATGTTCTTCTATCCACGTTATCATTAAAAGATTTACAGCATAAAACTTTAACTGTTAAAGTTAAACGCCTAATTATATTACTAGTCTTAAAAAATACGTTAAAAATTTTAACAAATTATTGTTAGATATTTTAACAAGTTTTTTAACATCTATTTTTTTATTGTTTCAGGTAGTGCATTTAAGCTATCAAGTACCTACAATGTGACGTAAACAAATGAAAGCAAGGGTGATTGTCATATAATGAATAATTTTGTGCAGCATTGAGCGAAATGCGCTGGAGCATGGATGGACCGTAGGATGCGCGTCTTTTCGGCGCTGATAACCTTCATGATCACCTCATCACCTATTTTGTCATTTGTCCCTGGAACCGATGGTAAGCATATTAAAAATGCCATACTTTTAATTTCTGTTAATGGGTTGTTCTACAAACTAAGGACGAATCTGAGCTTGATTTCGGTCATATTTTTCAGTCGAGTCAGTATAGTATCAAGAGTACAACGTCCTTTAGCCTATAATAAGTGGAACAGTCAAAACATCTCGAAATTTTAGATTTGTGTCCACTTAAAGGAAATCAAATCACACAAAACTCTGAGTGTAACCAGGAAACTAAGGAAAAATGAAAAAACAATAACAATCGAGCAAAATTAATGTTTCTTTCATTTTATTCATTTGTCACATTTTATTCATTGCTTATTTTACAAATTCAAAAATGTGTTTCTTAGTTAGTTAAAAATCTCTTTGTTAGTATATTACGTTAAACTATTGATGTAACTGTCCAATTATATTAAACAGCATCGAAAATTAGGACAATATTTGGTTTGACGAATTCTATACAAAACTCGCCTTGAACAAGAACTTTAATCAAATTAATTATTAACTTTGAGCTTTATACAATTAAAGTTCTCATTATATTGAATCTCAATTTGACAGGATCCTGAGGTCAGGTTCCTGAGAATTCCTAAATAATATTAAAAAAACACACAGATTTAGAACATTCAACAATAATTAAGTAAGACTGAGTAAAATACTAAATTTGCCTTTATTATTCATTTCGCAAGAAAAATCCTTACCAGGATTCTGAGAAATTGACTGATTACGGGCAATTTTACCTCACGCTAAATACAAAAGGTGGTGATCTAGCAGGGTCCTGAGACAAATCACTGAGAACAAATTTTGGTAAAGGATTTTTTATATATTCTTAGGGAATACGATAAGAGTATGTTTTCCAAACAAGAAATAGTAATAAACTTTTTAATTTTGGGTTTTATTCGTGGCCTCAATATTGTAATAAATAATTCACATACACTTTTTGACTACATTTTGTTCGAGGGACAACCCAGGTTTTTAAGAACTTGGCACTTTGAATAGTAATTTCATCAAGAAAATCATTTTTAATCGGAATTATTTTTTAGGGGCCAACTAGAAGTAGGTCGAAATAATAGTATGTTATAAAAATAAATTAGTTTTTAATATATCTTTCATAATATTTAAGCTCATGGATGAAAATGACTTAATTTGTAGAACAACCCATAATGAGTTTTTTTCTGATTTGCTATATACCTGTCACAGCGTAAAACAAATCCATAAAAGGAAAATATTGAATTTTAGTAGAGTTAGATAACGTTCTAAGTTAAATTTTAGCGTAAACAAATTATTTCTGATTAAGCAGCATACGAGTAACTATTAGGTAAGTGCTAGGAATGTCTTATAAATTAATATTATTTCTTTTAACTAAATCTAGCCTACTAGAATAATTAAACATGAGATAGAATAAACTACTAACGCCATCTACCCGTAGTACAGTGAACCAACAAGTATCTTTTTTTCCTTTCAATTGAGATTGTATTATCGTGTTAAAATAACAGATGGTGTTACTTTCAGGGCCAGTAATAGCTCAAGAGGGTTTGGAAGGCGGCAATACTACGTTATTCTGCGACTCGAGCACTGATACTCTAAATGATGAACTTATGCTCCTGGTTTGGTACAAAGATGATGTGCCAGTCTATAGGTAAATATTTTGTAATTTTGTTTTATGTAATTACTTTGAAAAATCTAGATTACTTCTTACTTTGAAAGTAATTCATTTCTAATTACTTGTATATTATAAATAATTTCAATTATTTATAATTATATAATTAGAAATGAATAATAAATGCAATTAATTATTATATAATTATTTAACTGTCTCGGTGTTGTAGTGGCTAGCATGTACGGCTGCACACTCGGAGGTCTTGGGTTCGAGTCCCGGGTCGGGCCAAGTTTAGTTATTGAGTCTTTCTGTATAGTAAGTCTCAGTAACAGCCCGGAGTTGGGAAATTGGCGGTGTTTAACTCCCGTGCCTCGGAGAGCACGTAAAGCCGTCGGTCCCGCGCCTCAACTCTCACTGGTCGTGTCGAGCAGTCGTCCCAGCGGAGTATGAGAGTGACAGGAATAGAGAGTGAACTTGTACTCTACTACTAGTGTGTCTGCGCGTACACTTGTGCAATATAATATCTCCTTCGCAGTTGGCTAGTCTCAATGAGATTGGCCACCGTAGCCGGAATCGGCTGGGAGAACATCATATAATTATTAATATAATATAAAAAAAAAAAAAAACTTTATTTGGAACAAATTTACAAAATCAGAACATTGTACGATATGGACTACATTAGTTAAAAACTGTGTTGTAGTCAATAACGCCCACCTCCAAGACATTTAATTAATATTAATACTAGTTCCAATAGCTTACATAGAAGTAGTTATAAAAGGTAGTATAGTTATATTTGCAGACATAGATTCTAGAATTAAATACAATAATATATATAGTATAATGCTGTGTGTGTGTGTGTGTGTGTGTGTGTGTGTGTGTAATATATAAATAATTTCACCCTTACGGGATTGTTTTTGATTTTTATATCGCACCAGCTTTGAGGTATAACCCACTACAATAACTAAAATAATAAAGAAGAAAATCGTTTCTAATAAAAGGATTAAGAAAAAGTTCCAGTTTAAACTGACATCAAATTTTCATTTGCAGCATCTTTAAAAAATATTTTTGTTTCAGTTATGATGCACGAATTATCAGTGAATGGTCGACTAGTTCCTTTAACACCAGCGGAAGAGTTAAAGCTAACCTGCGAAGACAACCCACACCCCTTGTGATTAGCAATTTGAGGGGTGATGACCAAGCTCTTTATCATTGTCGCGTGGACTTCCTCCTTGCCCCCACAAGAAATATTGGTGTCAACTTAACAGTTATAGGTAATGTCGATTGTCTTTTTGAACTAGTGGCTAGCATATTCATCTGCAGATCGAGAGGTCCTGGCCCCCTGGGTGCAGGTCTTAGGTCGGATAGAAGTTTAAGGTTCACTGTCAGGAATACTCAGTACCAGCCCGGAATTGAAAGGATTGCGATTTTCAAATCTCAGAGAGCACGTTAAGTAGTCGACCTTGCGCCTTATCTCTCAACAGTCATGTCGAATGGTCGTCTCCAAAGCATATAACTTATAAGAGTAAAAAAGAAATTGACTGTACTACACTTGTTATCTTTAACTAGATGTTTTATCCGCAATAGTATATAAATACTTTAATGATACTGTTTACTTACATCATATGTTTTCCCCATATTAGCTGTTGTCATTATTAGTTTACATTTATTCATTTCCTGTTTGTAATATCTGGTATACGTTTAGTATAAATGAAGTTCGGAAACTTCATTTAAGTTATACTCGCAGAACAGTCAAAGGGAAAAGAGTGCCAAGCTCTACATATACCTATGTATCTTACTCTTTTTTCTATTATTCACCCTTTTCTTACACCCTCGTTGAGGAACCTCAGATTTCTGGTCTAAAGAGAAGGCCTTACTAAATAAAGGCTAACTTATTAAGATATTTATTATACACTAGAGACTCACCGTTACTCCGCTCGGGTTCGTCCCTACTTACGTTTTAACTTTTAGTATAGATTTCTCAGAAATGAGATATTTTTCCGCAATAAAAAGTATCCTATATGTTGACCGGATAACCAGCTATCATCATCATACCAAATTTCATCAAAATCCGTCCAATGGCTTTTCCGTGATGCGGTAACAGACAGACAAAAATTCTAAAAACGATGGATTTGTATATTTCAATAAAATCTTATTGATTTGAAAAAATTGATTCCAAAAAATATTTAATGTATAGATTGCGCTTAGTTACAATTTTATTATATGTATAGAAAACAATATAGAAGTAGGTTAGTTTTTATAATAGTTTATTAGATTTGTTTACTAACATTAGCTAGTAATTAACAATTTGGATAAATATCTAATGGAAGCGCGCTAAAATTATTAAAAGAATAACTCAAAATATACCTTTAGTTTATTTTTGTTATTTAATAATAATATTCATCTATTTTAAACCGACTTCAAAAAAGGAAGAGTTCTATATTCGTCTGTATGTATGTTTTATTTATTGATTTATTTAAAACTTAAACCCACAGCTACGTACAGAAATAGAAAGTACATAAAGAAAGGAAGTCCTTATATAATGTTCTTATAATTCGTTTTTTTTATATACAGTCATATCTGTTATTTCAGTTCTACCAAGCCAACCATTCTTCCTAGATGAAGTTGGTAACAAGGTGGAGGGTAAAATAGGTCCCTACCACGAAGGAGATACTTTAGTACTGAGTTGCCTAGTGATTGGAGGTAAGAAAATAGTTTTATTTGTCTCCTAGTAGTCAAAACAAACCAGCACTGTTTTCTTTTGTATAGTAGGCTGAAACCAAAAAATGAAAAATTATATTCCGATCTTCGTCGGTAATATGGCAATTAAAAATCCTAAATGACAATTCTGAATAGATTGTCGTAACTAAAGTGAAATATTAGTGTGATAAAGATCAGAACATCCTTTTCTATATTGAGTGTTCAGATACCAATAATATACGTATGTACAACATTTGATAATTTGCTGCTTATCAGTCCCAGCTTCCCTGTTGATTTCATAGCTAGCATGTACGACTGCGAAAGTTTAATTTCTAGGGTCAAGCAAAATATACTGTTACTGGATTTTTTTGATAAAGAAATTCACAGTAGAAGCCTAGATGGAACTTAGCAATTTTACACCTTTTTATCTCAAAGTGCATGAAAAGCTATCGATCCTACACCTACGTACCTATTTGGGAAAACATTTGCTTGCGCACGTGTGTATTTGTACAGTATTCTCCCGCACAGCTTAAATCCATTGATTTAAACTATTTGTGACTAAAGCCACCGTAGCCGAAATCTATCAGGAGTACATTTTAAGTCCCAAAAATCAATTTTTTACGTTACGTTACGTTAAAAACTATTTTTCCAGGAAGACCTCCTCCTCGAATAAGCTGGTACTCTGGTAATGAACTAGTAGATGCCTCAGATGGAGCTAGCGATATACCCGGGGTGAGGGAGAACGAGCTATATCTACCTTTGACTCGAGACAACGCAGAATCTCTTTCATGTAGAGCAAGTAACACTCATCTTACTCCACCAGTCGTATCCTCACTGCAAATTGAAATTTTCTGTAAGTGTTTTTGATAGAACTTCAAACTATATTCCGCCAAAAAAACCTTGTAACTTCGTCTTCAGCCTCGTCGGAATTGTTCACTGATGCATTACTCTGCTAAGGTATATACTGTAAAGTTTTATCAAAATCCATATATCTATATATCCTCACAAATCCGTGCAGTTTTTCTTAATATGGATTAAAGGAATTTCCTTATCGTCTGTCACATTGGAACTTTATTACGAAAATTTGGCCTGCAATAAAAATACCCAATTGTGTCAATTTTTAACAAAATAGATTCAATATTGTCACAATCACAATTTTAAAAGATTTTTTTATTATTATATTATTACTTGACGAAATACGTTTTTCTTTTAAGTGCCTGCGTATAACGTGACTATAAACTGGATGCGAGGATTGTATGAGGACGCATTAAGAGCGGGCAAACCAGCACTTGTGCAATGTGTGGCGCAGGGCTCCTACCCTCCCCCCGAGCTCTCTTGGTGGCTGGACCACCGACACCTCACGCAGCATAGCAATCAGGTATTATTCATTACTTTATTGTATGTAGGGAAGGAATTTATTTTAGGGTCGTACAATAGAAACTGTTTATCATTTAAATTATTGTAAATAGCAATACATAAAGGAAGGAAAAGCTCAGCTAAAAATCCTTTATCATATATGGTTAAAGCCCGCTCCTTGGTAATTGGTTGCCCCAGACCCAAGCTTATTACTCTAATATTCTTATTTATAACTTAAATTATGTAAATTATTTATTTTTTTAAATATGCAATTTACTGACATTATAAAATAATTACAAATTGTGAATAGCAACAAAAACTGTAACTATGTATATTAATTGAAATTAAACTTAATTTAATAAAGGAAATCAATATCTAACATTCAATGTAAGCGGTATACAGTGATAAAACATCAACACGTGAATCAAGCAAAAAAAAACAAACAGTAAAACATTTTTGAAAATTTGGCTTCCTTACTTTTGATACAAAAGAAATTAAAATCCAATCTTACTGAAAAAAAATCCAAATTGTGGACTGCTACTAATAGATAATATCTAGATTAAATAACCAAATAACTATCCTAGACCCGGCTGGCGAGTCGAGCCCAGGATTTCAGAATTTGCAGACATACAAGTTTATTAAGGGTAATAAAGAGTTTAATGGATACTGTATAGTTGTACCTAAATATATAGTTAGATAATAATAAAATACACGCAGAAGCCGCGACTTCGCTCGCGCTAAAGCTATAAAAATACTCTAAAAAGGTATTCATACAAACTTTTATCCCCTATTTTACCCGCTTACGGGATGACTTTTGAAAAATGCTAAAACACGTATTTAATTAAATGTATTGAAGAGCATTAATACCAAGTTGCAAGTAATTCTGATCATAATTATTTTTTGCATTGTATTATAACGTGTTTTCCCGTGGGAATGAGATTATCTCCCGTAGTAAAAAGTATGTATAATGTACATTATATTGCGTCAACTCGACGACATAAACTGAGATATCTACATTCCATATTATATTTAATGTTAATCATCAGTTTTACTTATTTATGTGGCTTAATTTATGCATATACCACTCATTAAACTGATTTTAATAGATTTACTTTTATCGTTTCATGTTTTAACTTATACATTTATGAGATAACTATAAATATATTTGGACCTCGTAATATATTGAAATACATATACATAAAACATTGATATAGACATTCACAACAGGAATATTTACGACCTAATAATAAGATAGTAGATAAGGTATTCATGAAAACAAATGTATACTATACGGGTTGCTTGATGGTAAGCAGTAACTGCAGCCTATATTTGTTAGTACCTACCTACGTAAGTAATTCTAGGGATTTCACTAATATCGGTTTACTACCTAAAGGGAAAGGAGCACACAGATGGAAGGAGGAAATGAAGAAATTAAGGCGAACATGAAAGAGAATTAGTAGTTTTTTCTTCAACAGACTCACTCTCCGAATGAACGAAGCGTACCCACAACTTACGTAATAATTGAGCTGGTAAAGACCAATCCCAGTAAGGTTTTTTAGAACTGCTAAACAATCAACAGTTATTTCACGAATTTGAATTTTATTGAAATATGTATACTTAATATACTACAAGTACAACCACAATAGTATTCTGACAAGAGGAAACTGGATAGGTTATTATCGTGGAATGTTAAGATTTGTCGAAAGGCATACGTCTTGTCTCAAAACCAAAATTTTTAATGAATAAATATATACGTAAATAACGCACTAAGTAAAAATTCATATTTCTTAATTCTAGAGTTGGAACAATGCAACTCGCAGAGCGGAGTCTTTCCTGGAGCTGATACCGGCGGTAAGTGACAACGGCGCTACCCTAGCCTGCGTTGCCACCAACACAGTGATGGCCCCGGGGCGAGACTCCAAGGCAGACGTTATAATATTAAATGTTACCTGTAAGAAAACATAACACTTTCTTAGATTTATTCAAATATTTGACACTAAATAAAACTATCTTTTCAGATTTTTTGCAGATTTATTTTGATTACTACTACTACTGGAAGGAACCAAAAATCAAAATAAATCCGAAAAGATAGTTCTATTTAAAATTTTCGTAAACATTTTACGACTGTAGTGAAGTTGAAAAAGGTAAAGTGCCAGACATGTCAAAGTGATATTTTCAATTGTATATATATTTATTTGCTCGATTACCGGATGACCTAACAACGTTTCACGCTTAATTTATAATTGATTCAGGTAATGTCATGTTAAAAAATCATTTAATTATTGAACAACTTTATTATAAAAATAATAAAATTGTTTTAGATAGTCCAATTGTAGAATTATCAATGGTAGGAGATGGAAGACTGAATGAAGTGGCGGAGCTGGACATCCTACAACTTGAGTGTGAAGTGAAAGCCAACCCACCAGTTGAAAACTTTATATGGTATTTTAATGTAAGCATTCAATATTATTGAATCGTATTAGATAATAATTATAATATTTCTTATTAAATGTATCTGTATAGTTTAAAGTGAAGCGTCTCAGCTTCAAGTCTGCTTTCCTCTGTCAGTTTATAGGTACTCGTCCTCTACAGATCGTTTTTTATAATCAAATTGGACGAAACTTCGTATATAGGCTTTATAGATTTTTTTGTCGTCGAACATTTTTGATTTTAGAGGTACTTAATACTTACTCCAAAAGAGGGGAAAGGGGAGGCTACTGGATATCTCCTTCTTATGAGATCCGATTTCTTTGGTTCTTTTTTATTTGAAAAGTGGTAGCTTTAAAATCTTAGGCGTGACGAGCAAAACTATTAGTAATTAATAAGTAATAAAATCATAATCAGTGCAGTTGTACGGCAAATATTTTTTGAAAATTTTAATTTTGAGATGTAAATCTATTAAATGACAGTTAGAAAAAATAGAAGACTAGCCACAGTAGCCTATTAAGTACTACTTGTTTTTAATGATTATGAAAGTTGAGAGTCTGGAAAATTTTGGAGATCTACTTAGGAACCATGAAGTCACCTGTTTAAATTTTGTAATAAGTTTTTTTTTGTTTTTTTTTTTATGGGACTAAGGGGGCAAACGGGCAGGAGGCTCACCTGATGGAAAGCGATCACCGCCGCCCATGGACATCTGCGACACCGCAGGGCTAATAAGTCATAATTCACCGAACATACATTTTTCACTTTACACCAACATTTATATAATTTCCATCAAAGTTACGAAGCTAAATATTTAAGCATAAAAGTACTCCCTAAACTCATGAAGATTCAGTTGCAAAAAAAAACTCGAAAAAGTCTTCTACTGTTTTTAGAACTTTTTAAGTTGTTCTGTTTGAAAATTCTCAAAAATTTAGAAAAAAATCATAATTCAAAAACTATGAACAACCGTGGAACATACATGGGGGTGATTCGGGTACCCCAAGGGATGCTCTACCTCTGGACTTCTGCTTGACACTTATTTTTGGTACACCCTGTATGTACATATATTGATTAGTTATATCTTCAAAAATAAATGATGGTACCTATTTAATTTAATAGTTTTCATATGGTTTGCTCTTAGGATATTGAAATACGACCTAACAGTTTATGGGGCAGTGATGTTACATCGCAGTCTCTTTTAGTAGAAGAAGCTACGCGGAGACACGCTGGTCGATACTCTTGCGCAGCTCGAAACAGTATTGGCGAAACAAGAGCAGATACTATCAATGTTACTGTATTTTGTAAGTTGTTAATTTATATTATATAGCTTTGACAGCTACTTTCCGCTAAACTTTAGTAGTATTAATATCGACGTTAACTTTATTTTAAGTAAGAAAAACGTATTACAATATCAATCAATTTTTACCACGAAAGTCATATTTTACTAGTAACCCGCTTCGCTCGGCTGCGTCCGTAGTCCCTAATAATAATTATCTAATACATTATATTCATGTACATTTACGCGGTGTACGACAGCTTCCAGTCAGTTTTGTTTCCTTTATAATTATCGTGATATTTCAGCCAATTTAGACAAAACATTAATGAATTGTACACCTAAACCTTCCTCATAAATTATGAAGATGACAACCGTACGAAATTCCGTAGAGTATTTTCGAGTTAACCTAAAACAAATAGATGTAATTATAATAACTGCATTCCAGATCCACCAGAATGTGCAGAACATAGCATAACATTAGTTAAAGAAACATTAAGATGCAATGTCAAAGCTCTTCCAACACCAGACACTTACTTCTGGCATATACAGCCAACAGATGAAGATGTTCAGCATCTTACCACTGGCTCAGCAATTCTTCCCCTCACACAAATAACAGGAACATTATCGAAGTCCTTAGATGTTAGCTGCGAAGCGGGGAACGGTATTGCATCACAAGAGAAACCATGTAAAAAGACTTTTACTTTTGATCAATTAAGACCACCACAGCCTCAGCAATGTGACCTTGCGTATGAATACGAAGAATTTCTTATGAGATGTATTCCAGGTATTTAAGACATATGTTAATATATAGATTGTATAATTATGTATAAATATAATTAAAATAACCTATATTTTTATGTAAAAGCAAGATGTTTTGGTTAAGTGTCTACTTAACACAAATCAAATGAAACGGCTTTATTTAAGTTTTATCTTTTGCTACTAAAGTATACCATTTGTCATACTCGTAGGTATACCTTATAAGTTGTGCACCTCAGTCATATCTAAAAACTCTTCAATTTTTGAAGTAAAACGCTGATGTAACTGCTTTTTGTTACTATTACCTAACTGTTACTAATGTACTAAAATCATATAAAATAATATATGTAGTACTAGGTACATAAAATATAAATGTATCCTAATTATAAATAGTCCATTGAAAAGTTACATTTGGGGTTGCATTTGTCAGAGGACGCAATTTTATTTTTTAGATATCAAGGAGGGGTTAGTGTAAAGTTAAATCCAAGTTTGTAGGGTTGCAGCCCTTGTCCCACGGCCGCCATCTTGCAAAAAGGGGTGCGAATGGTTTTTATGGTTTATCTGACAAACTATAGGTCTCACACAAAAAAAGTTGAACCATTTTTGGTTGCAAATAAAATTCTCTACAACTTTGGTCAAGTAACTTTTAGTCGTAGAACCAAAAATGACAAGTTAAAATCGGTGAAAATTTAAGAAATTTTGTTCTATTTGTCATTATAACTTTTTTTCTGATCATTTTACAAAAAAAATATATCAGACCATTTTTATAGAAGCGTTTTTAAGGAACAATAGTCATTGTAAACTTTTTAAATTATATACATTAATTAAGGTTTTACAGAGCCGCGAAACGAATATACTATTCTTCAGTATTCATAAATATACATAAATATTATTGATTCGCCATAATTTTCAATCTTCTTGTCATTATTATTATGATAATCTTTTTAATTATTGATAATGCAATATTGTTATTAATTAATTATTTACTCTTTTACCCTACCTATGCGGTAAAATCTGGAGGCGCGTTATTTACGTGGTATAATTACTCTGTCCTCGGTCTTTTTGATGGACCAGGCTGTGGCTCAGGATCTGGTTGACCTTCTATATCAAATACTTGAGGGAAAACCGCCGAAGGAAATGAAACACGTCGAGTTGCTGCAATTATGGAATGACCAATCGATGCGCACTTTCTTCGCGCTGCATTTAGTGACTTGCGTTTTGATTGGCATATAATTCCATTTGGCATATAATAAAGATTCGGGAATTAAAGTGTTAACGTCCTTCAGAAAATCGTTAGATGGTGAATACTGCTTTGTCTCGTAATTATAAAATTATATCAAACCAACCGCCTTCTCATAAAAAAATGATCTACGTGAAAAGAAATTGCAGAAAATTAGAGATGCAGCTGCTATTATTTTGGAAGATATTCGTTCACAGCGTTACGAGACAAAGCAGTATCCACCTTCTGATAATTTCCTGAATGACGTTAACACTCTAATCGATTGGTCATTCCATAATTGCGGCAAATCGACGTGCTTCATTTCCTTCGCCGGTTTTCCCTCAAGTATTTGATATAGAAGGTCAACCAGATCCTGAGCCATAGCCTGGTCCATCAAAAATACCGAGGACAAAGTAATTATACCACGTAAAAAAAACGCGCCTCCAGATTTTAACGCGTAGGTGGTGGGTAAAAGAGTCAATAATTAACTAATAACAATATTGCATTATCCATAATTAAAAAGATTATCATAATAATAATGAAAAGAAGATTGAAAATTATGGCGAATCAATAATACTTATGTATATTTATGAATACTGAAGAATAGTATATTCTTTTCGCGGCTCTGTAAAACCTTAATTAATGAACATAATTTAAAAAGTTTACAATGAATATTGTTCCCATGGACGAATTAGAGACTAATTCGTTCATGATTGTTCCTTAAAAACACTTCTATAAAAAAGGTCTGATATAATTTTTTTGTAAAATGATCAGAAAAAAAGTTATAATGACAAATAGAACAAAATTTCTTAAATTTTCACCGATTTTCGCTTATAACTTTGTTATTTTTGGTTCTACGACTAAAAGTTACTTGACCAAAGTTGTAGAAAATTTTATTTGCAACCAAAAATGGTTCAACTTTTTTTTGTGAGACCTATAGTTTGTCAGATAAACCATAAAAACCATTTGCATCCCTTTTTTCAAGATGGCGGCCGTGGGACAAGGGCTGCAACCCCACAAACTTGGATTTAACTTTACACTAACCCCTCCTTGATATCTAAAAAATAAAATTGCGTCCTCTGACAAATGCACGCTAACACACTACGCATTTCGCGCGCTACTATATATTATTTTATTAACATAAATATCGTCTATTCTTCGTTTCCAATTAAATCTACAGCTTCTTAGGAGCTCTTCCTTATAAGGGATATACGATTAAAGTATGCAAAAAACATTACATTTTCAATAAACTTTATCCTATCCATGCGAATAAGCTGGAAATGATTTACATAGTAAGAGCATTGATTAAATCAGTACAATTCAATTTACATTGTTGTATATTTATTTCAACTAAAATAATTACCTAAACACAATTGGTGACAGTTTTAATAGTCTAGTCAACAAGTGCCTTTTCGGTCGACTTTTTATCAGCAATCCCGGAAAAATATGAACGAGGTGTCATTCGGCACTGAATGACTTGCAGATGATTTTAAAAAAAAACTCAAGTTCCGGTTGCAAAAATTGCAAAAGTTATATATAAACAATTCGCTAAAAAAGTGGGGCTTGGTTTTTTGCAAATATATCAAAAATTAATTGAGTTTTTTCAAATCAAAAAAAAAGATTTTAGACTAGATTATAAGAGAACTTCTGCATGGGATTGTTTATCTAGTACTTTTTTGATCGATGAGTAAGCGTTAATAATAATATTAAGCCCAATGCACGTACATTATACATATATGGTTGGGTAATCAAACACAATATTTGGCTCAGTTTGTAGTGACCCTTGTTGTGCCAGCGGTCTCGGGTTCCAGTCCCGATGGGGGTATTAATTTGTGAAATAAACACGAATGTTTGTACTCCAGTCATGAGTATATATCAATAATATGTATGTATTTATTTAAAATTATATATATCTAGTGTATCAACTATCTAGTATCCATAACACATGCCTCGTAGCTTACTATGAAATTAGATGGTGCTGTGTGTTAATGTCCCAATATATTTATTTTATTTATTTATTAGATCTCGGTCGGAATGGTTACACTTAATATATATAGTTTTACCAGAAGTGAAATAAAAATTAAAAAAAAAACAACGACTACTTACACATATTTATACTTTTAATAGAAATAAAATCAATTAAAAAAATAAAAGTTCTAACATATTAATAATTTAAAAGAAATACCAATCTAAATTACAAAAATAGGCGGGAATAGTATATACCATAGTATAATGAATATTCATTTTATTAGATTTTATTACATATTTTCATGTTCAAGCTTAGTTTTACAAATACCATTTTTCCTTCCTTGAAAACCCTTTAATACATTATGTACATGAATGTATCTAGAAATGCCAAACAATTCAGTAAATATTTTATAAATGAAATACTTTGTTATACCGTTATGTGTTATATTATTTACAGTGGAAAATGCTACATATTATGAAGTATCTGTTTGGAGGATGTCCACGTCGAACGCTTCGTTGCTACTAGAGCGAAGAGGGTCTATGGGTTATGGTATGAGCCAGGCTCTTGCTAGAGGAGAAGGTGTACCGTGGCTAGTTAGAGGTCCTTTAGGAAGTTTGAAGATAGGTGATGAAGCGGGCGCGTCAGCGTGCAATAGATATGGCTGCTCAACAGCCTTATTATTGCGACCCACAGAAAATTTGCTACACTCTGCCGCTACGCCTTGGTGGAAGTGTAAGTTTTTGATATATTTAATTGTAACTGATATTTGATATATAGTTGACACTTAAGTAATGTTGAAATGAGTTGCCTTATGTTCAGAATTGATCAGTCAATATATGTTGCTATAAGACATTAATCCAAAAATATGAATATATTATGTACATGTAATTTAGCGATATTTCCATCTTCTTTTCTTTCAGGATATTTAATAGTACGTCTGTGAATTTGCTTTTGATTTACCCAATAGAAATTTTTTTCATAATACTTTCTTAGATTTACGCGATTATTTGACATTTTAAATAAAACTATCTTTTCGGATTATTTTGCGGATTTATTTTGATTTTTTGTGATTAAGGGCTCTCGTACATCGGACAAACAAAGAGATCCACTAGAACTCGGGTCAAAGCATACATAGCTGCTGTGAAACGTTTTCGTTCGAATAAATGTATATGTGAAACATAATAATCCTTCGTTATTCTTCATAGTAAAATAATATAACATATCAATGTTATATATAATATTCCAGTTCTCCTCGAGAAAGACGTGGGCATAGCGGTAGGGGCAGTGGTGTTAGTAGCGGTGTTCCTGCTCTCCACTGTACTGGCAGTACGCCTCGCACGTCGTGCCCGCTTAAAGCCGGCTCCTGTGATACAAGTACTGCAGTTAGATGACGTCGCGCGAGACTATTTAGAATCTATCGGAGGTAGGTAAGCACCACTGTGCCATACCATTGACCTACTAATTATACGTATAATCCATACATATATTAGGGGAGGATTGAGAGCTAATCTATATCAGCTATTGTGCCATCACAACAACTTTTAAAAGTTTAGCCGACAACATATTATCGTTATTATTTTATTTAACAAAACATTTTTCTGTGAAATAGTAAGCACGCTCTAGTAAGTTTATTATTGTTATACCTAATGGTAATTATTTATATTCTGTCACAACAATATGCTTATTTATATATTGAAATCTTAAACAGATCATAAAGTTCATGCCTCGTGCAGCCTCCGGTCATGCAGCAGTGGGTATTCCGATGGGTCTGCAGAGACCGCTCCAACCGTAGACAGAAGGAGGAAACCACGTTTCTGGGATTGGGATCCACCACCCGACGTCACTCTCAATGTACACAGAGAGAGCGCCGTGTAAACCCCTTACAAACATTTCAAATCATAACTTAGTACGAAGTACATCTATTTTATTGATGAAAACAAATCGAACAGTGAAACAGTGCCGATTCGTTACGATTCTTAGCCTTATGAATTAGTGTATAGATTTTTGTAAAATAATAAATGTATAGTTTAATTACAATTAAATATTAATATTATCAAAGGTTTATAGTCGTAATTATTTCTCAATCAATTACAATCATTTTCAACCTATAGGTACATTAAGAATTTACCCTATATCAAAAATTCTAAAATCGCCTTGTATAAAAATTAAGTCCTAAATTATTTCGCTTACTCTAAATCAGGAATCTTTAATTGTATATCAAATCATATCAAATATTGGCACTGATCAAATTAATTTACAAAAAAACCGATTGCGTAAACAAAACTAAAACCGACTTCAAAAAACACTAAAAACTAAAAAAATAACTGATTGTTACTTTTCATTTACTATAATACCTAATCAGACATTTTCGAAGTCGTTGTGCTTTAAATATTATCAGCTGGCATCAACTTCAAAAATATTTGATTAGGTGGTAAGTATCCATAGTACCTAAATAAAACCAATCAGTTATTGCTTAGTTTTTAGTGTTTTTTGAAGTCGGTTTTTAAGTTTTTATTTTTTCCTTTTTAGTGTAGACTACTACTGTACTACTATAGTAGCAAAGTAAGAAGAAAGCATTTTAATAAAATATTTGCTTAAGCCGTTTAAGTTACTTTGATACTAATTTTTATATGAAGACTGACAAATTTATACTTGCTTTTATTAGTAACACTAAAAAATCTGTCTATAAAATCCAAATCTAACATATTGGGCTGGTCAAATCAAATGAAATAAGCCCAAACTCAAAGAATCTACTATCAGCCATTGAAGAGTTCCTTTTATCCACCTTCGGGCCTTACCATCATCATCAGATCGACGATATCGAACCACTGCACTATCAACGGTATATGACAATTAGAAGTAGGTTAAAATTTCATTAGCTATTTTTCATTTTTATTTTTATTAGCATTTTTTTTTTTCAAATTAAAATGGGAACAACTTGCAAGTATACACTTTCAAACGAAACAAAAATTGTCCGAATCGGTTAACAAATGACGAAGTTCTGAGGTAACAAACACCAAAACAAACAAACAGCTGAATTGAGAACCTCCTCGTTTTTGAAGAAGTCTCTTGAAAAGTGAATTGAAAAGATGGAAACAAGTTCAAGAAGGAATATAGTACTATGCAATTGGATACTTATTATATGAACTTCTGATAAAAATTAACTAAAGTGTTTCCAATACGTTTTTACATACAGTGTTGAAAAAATAAAGATATTTTTTATGTACCTAGTCTTATTACTTTATCTTTTATTGACATGGTCGTTCTTAAGGCCTGTTGATGATATTTTGCGTGAATTAGGTGATGATGATGATGATGTTATCCTAGCCGATTCCGGCCACGGCGGCCAATCTCAATGAGATTACCCAACTGCGCAGGAGATATTATAGTGCTCAAGTGTACGCGCAGACACAAGTGCACTCTCTATTCCTATCACTCTCATACTCCGGTGGGACGACCACTCGACACGACCGGTGAGAGTTAAGGCGCAGGACCGACGGCTTTACGTGCTCTCCGAGGCACGGGGGTGATACACCGCCAACTTCCCAACTCCGGGCTGTTACTGAGACTTACTATACAGGAAGACTCAATAACTAAACTTGGCCCAACCCGGGACTCGAACCCAGGACCTCCGGGTGTGCAGCCGTACATGCTAGCCACTACACCACCGAGGCAGTTAAATTGAATGTGAATTAGGATTATAAAGGTGCTAGCGAAAAAATATTTTTGATCAGAATTACTTGAAACTTGGTATTAAAGCTTTTCAATTAAATAAATATCTAAAACTACACAATAAATAAATAAAAATGTATGTGTTTTAGCATTTTTCGAAATTCATCCCATAAGGGGGTAAAATTTGTATGAAACCTATCTTTTTAGTTCTTTTTGTAATTTTAGCGCAAACGAAGCCGCGGACTCTGGTAGTATAAATATAAATGCACGCGTGAGTGTCAACGCCTATCAAAAAGGTGACTAAGAGGTCAATCTGTATACAACATATTATACACGGTGGCAGTGAAAACATTTAAACCTCATTTGACTGGAGATCCGACTAGAACACAAATTAGCATAGTGATGAATACGAGTACTTAGTGACTTAATATTATTCTAGTCACAATGTTAGTGGTAAAATTAATTGTTTGTTTATTAATTCTTTACAAATGTGGGTGTTCTCTTGTCATCAGTAAGTATTGATATTTCTACTAACACTCGTCATATTTAATCTCAGTAATATAATAAATGTGAAAGTTTAGACTTTACATGGATGTTTGGATGTTTGTTACTCAATCACACCAGAACGGCTGAACGGATCTGGATGAAATTTGGCACAGAAATAGATTATAGTCTGGAATAGCACATAGGCTTATACTTTTTATCCCGGAAAAATATACGGTTCCCGTGGAATAGATTTGTTCTTGTTCTTCTCCTTCGCTAGTTTAGAATAAATTTATATCATCCGATTTTCATATTAAATTAATTATATTTATATTCAATTTATAGAAAACAAAAAGGACATTACATTAATTTTAACAATTTTACTAGTTCTTATATAGGTGAGTACATACTCAAAATATTTTTATATACAAACTAAAAGTAAATAGTGCCCAAATATTTTAATTCGCATTACATCACAGAACTGACCCAGATGTCGACTTATCAATAAAAGCTTATATAGAGATATTTTTAAAGAGTTTTGATGTATCTTTTTGATCTATACTATAATATTATAAAGAGGTAAAGTTTGTGAGTTTGTAAAGTTTGTGATGTGTGGTAATCTCTGGATCTACTGAACCGATTTAAATCAAATTTAGTAAAACGATAGTTTGAGACGCTGGGAAGGACATATAATAGTTTTTATTTCGGAAATTCTCCCATAAGGGGATGAAAATGATTATGAAAGTTTGTATGGGGAAGCAATCTAGAGACGAACCTGAGCGAAGCGGGGGCGAGTCGTTAGTATATCATATTATTTACATTAAATCTGTGTTGAGTAGAAAATCTTAACCGCGATTGCCTATAACTCTTCGTACGAAACGTTACATCAACTTCAAATATGTTGTTGTATGTTGTAACCACATATAATAAAATTGTAACTAAGTCGAATCTGTACATTAAATATTTTTTGTAAAATCTAATTGAAATAGACATTATTATCGATACAGAGTCCGAATATATAGTTTTTAGAATTTTAGTCTGTCTGTTTGTCTGTTTGTCTGTCTGTCTGTCTGTCTGTTTGTCTGTCTGTCTGTCTGTCTGTTTGTCTGTCTGACTGTCTATCTGTCTGTTACCGCATCACGAGAAAACCACTTGACAGATTTTGATGAAATTTGGTATGATGATAGTTGGTTATCCGGGTCAACATATAGGATACTTTTTACCGCGGAAAAATATCTCATTTCTGAGAAAAAATATAAAAACTGCATTGTAAGAGTATACTAATATGTAAAACCTAAGAATTTGGTTTTCGGTCAGAACGCGGGCGGAGCCGCGGGCAATGCTAGTTTAGTTTATAAGATTAGGTGAGCTTGAAAATTCAATCATCAAGAAATATATATATTAAATAATAAAATTTATATAATATAATAAAATTTATATTAAATAGAATCATGCAGCGATTGTAAGCTGATTCGCCAGTGTCCAAATGTAAAGAATATACCTAAGGAGAAAATCACAGAAAAATTGACAAATTCATTTTGTGGACGTACAATAGATAATGGAAAAAGAGCAATTAAGGTATGATTCCCACGTATAATCTGCATACGTTTTAGTGTTTTTTTTTAATTTTTAAGTCGGTTTTTCTCTATTTTTCCATTTTTAGTGTAGACGTAGTAGTAGCAAAATAAGAAGATGTATTTAAGAAATTCAGTAGGTGAAAAATAATCACCCCTGTTTAATACGTTTAGGGGTGAATTTATTTTAATTTAAATTGGACCGACTTTGAGGTATATTTACTATATCCAATAAAACAATAATCATCGAAATCGGACCACTGTAAAAATTTATGCGTGGTCAAACATTACAAAAAAAACAAAATATACGTGTCGAATTGAGAACCTCCTCTTATTTCGTCGGTTAAAGAGAGACATTTTTAGTAACATTTCAACTTTATACGTTAACTGGTAATTTATTAAAAGTTTTCAATTAATTAAACTACATACTACTAATTTTTTACACCATTACGAAAAATATAAACATATTATTAGTATTAACCGGTAAAAATAATTATTATTCTGTAATTTATTGGATTAGTCATGTGCTGCAATTATTATTAATAATTCACCGATATCAAATGTTCAATTATTATTATTAAAGTAGATGTTACTTTAATGCTATGTACTCTCGACAGCTAATCTCACTTAGAGTAATAAACAAATGTATGTGCAAAAAGTGATGAACTCTCCATATCCCACATCAAAACTCATAGTTTATTTTAATATTGATATGAAATGAAATTTCATGAAATTTAAATTATAAGCATATATTGATAAAGGACATAAAAATAAGTTAATCACTTTAAAGCACCATAAGATCGTATCTAACGACGTATTTAACGATCTATCGTATTTAACGACGAAGTACAACTGTATATACTATATATACTATTATACTTAGACTCGCTCTTTCCTGTACAATATATTTTCTTTTTTATAACGTTTCTATTCTTAATGATTTATCCATTTATGACTTTTTAGATTTGCTGCTCCGACTTCGCTGTACCTGAGAACCTAAAATTGTTTTCGAGGCTTCTGCCTGAATTACAAATTATTGATGATACTAATTATGATACAAATAACATTGATAATCATACAAATATAAAATTACTTCCGGGCAATTGTGGCCAAAAGCTTGATGATCGCATTGTTGGAGGAAATGAAACAGCTATATACGAATTTCCTTGGATGGCACTTATCTATCATAAAGATAATAATGGTAGACAGATTTTCTTTTGTTTTTTCAAAGCTCTTAAACATGTGTAGGTAAATCTCGCGACATGCTTTTATCTATACTTATAATGAAATTCTGAGTGGAATCGGTACATAAAATATATTTCATAGGCCGAATCTATTGTTTTTAGAATTTTTGTAAATTGTATGTTTATCTGTCTGGAAACGCATCACGAAAAAACTACTGGACAGATGTTAATGAAATTTGTTATGATGATATCTGGTTACCCGGGTCAACAATATAAAGGATACTATTTACTGCGGGAAAATATCTCTCTAAGAAATCTATACTAAGCGTCCAAACGTTCCGAGGGACGAACCCGAACTTAAAGTTTATAGAGTATTTAAATAAAAGCTTATTTTTAAAAAGGTTTTTTACTATAAATTTATTTATACACAATAAACGAATTTATTCTGGTTGATAAAATGAGTCGACATTGTGGAAACGTAAATATTATTCGTATTTATTAAACGTAATTTATAAAGCCAAAAAGTTATTTTATTGATAATTAATTTGAACACCGCGGATAATACCTATAGTAATAATTCTAATAAAATCATAGAAAGGTCATATCTGTTGTATTATTTCTTTTGGCACGTTTTTTAAGCCAAATTCAGCCAATATTACACATTTTGTCACATTTTTTGTTACATAAGCCTTGTCACCTTACTTATTTAATCGAATTTAAGCACTACATACAACCTCATCTACGTTTATATTATTGTTATCCTATAGGACACGTAATATTGGATTGCGGAGGATCCGTAATTAGCTCTAGATATATTTTGACTGCTGCCCACTGTGTCTTTGATAAGACGATCACGGGTGTACGTGTTGGTGATTTTAACATCCGAAAACAAACATATTGTCAAGGAGTATATCCGAATTATGTATGCCAATCAAAACCGCAGGTATAAAGTTCTCTTTACCTAAAATTATATTAAAGCTACTTTATCTATACTAATATTATAAAGAGGTAAAGTTTGTAACGTTATAGTTGTAATCTCTGGATCTACGGGACCGATTTAGCTGAAATTTGGTAAGCAGATAATTTGAGAAACTGGAAAGAATATACTTTTTATCCAAGAAATCATCTCTTAAGGGGGTGAAAATGGGGATGAAAGTTTGTATTAAGAATCAAGCTAGGGACGAACCCGAGCGAAGCGAGTGAGTCGCTAGTAATTGTATAAAATAATAAAATATTTTATAGAACCAATTTTTAATTGCGATCTTTCCTCACGTGTGATTTCTTTCTTGATAAAATCATACTAATACATATACAGGATTTTGCCAACCGCATTATTTACTAACTAGCCTTAAATCACATACTTCTAAAATATTTTATTTAATTCATAGGAATTGCGAGTTGAGAAATCAATAGTTCATAAGGAATACGGCAAGCACCCTAACTTGATAAATGATATCGCATTACTTCGAGTTAACAAATCGATAGATTTTTCCTTGAGTGAGTATCTTTCTATCTATCTTTAATTAGCATATCTGGAAGGCAGACGTTATGTGCCCACAGACCTCACTGACAAGATATTTATTTATTTATTGACCTGGATAGCGCATGTTATCGTGAGGTTAGAAAACCAATGCTTCTTCAATCACACTTTCACTCTTTCAAGCGTCTCCAATTTATTCTTCCTTTTACAACCACGATTACGGTTACTCAATCCTTCCTTATCCCCGTACTCGATTACGATAATGTCAAACGTGTGCTGTTTGAATGTGATTGTTGAGCAATTTAACAAGTTAAAGAGTCACCAAAATTTCGCTATATATTTTATTTTTTACTTGCGTAAGCGTGAGTATATATCAAACTTTCGTGCTCAAAAATGGCTACCAATATGCCTTTGCCGTGATATGCACAATATACTTATAGAAATGAATTTTATATGTAGAATTTGAATCTGACCTCTCTTTTAGAAATAAGTCTACCTTTGCAAACTTTTATTGTACTTTATTAACTTTTTTATTTTAAATGCAATTAATAAAAGTATAAATTTCTATGGTAGAGAAAGCTAAAAGAGGAATAAATAGATATCATATTATACCTTCCATAACCTGTAGTTTACCGCAGCTTAATGACAATAATAATAGCTTAGTTTAAACGGGAAATAAAATTTTTTGTAAGAGTTTGTCATGTTTCAGGTATTAATTGCGCTCATTTTTTGTTAAAAATACTATTTTTACTTTTATTTATAAGAAGTCTCAATGATCAATTCAAGAATACTAAAGAGAATATTTCTTTTTTTTAGAAAATGCCAAACCGATTTGTTTGCCGGTATGGAAAGAGATTCGTAATATAAACCTCAGTGGAAAGGCTTCTATAGTCGCAGGTTGGGGTCTTATGGATGGCGGAAAACGGTCAGATATACTTCAAAAAGTAACTATACCTATAATGCCAGAAACCGAATGTGTTAATTACTTTGAAAGGTGAGGTTGATTAGATTTTCTTTCTCTTTCTTTTTCTTTCTCTTTGTAACCTTGTATGAAAAACAAAATATTTTCAGAGACTTAAACCCAAAGCAAAGTTCACATAAGTCTTTTTGCGCTGGTGAAACAGGAAAAGATGCCTGTAACGGCGATTCTGGAGGTCCCCTTATGATATTTGATGAATATAAAGACAACTACCGTATAATTCAATACGGCATTGTGTCTTACGGCTCGAAAATGTGCGGCTATGAGGCGCCGGGAGTGTATACTGATGTTTCCAAATATATGAAATGGATTTTAGACAATATTGAAGAATAGAAAAAAAATTAATAGTATTTAATATACAAAACTTTGAAAAACTTTTTCTGACAAGATTAGTAGAATTATGCAGAAAATTGTTTAATAAAATGATAAATTAAAAAAATGTCACCTTTTTAATCTCATCCCATCAAATAATGATAGTATTCTCCTGGGGCAGGAGATAATGCCATACATACACACATACATGTTTACGCAATTAGTTTTCATGAATAGATAATAAATGTCGTTAGTCCGTAATTTTATTTTATGAATATGTGAATACTTAAATAATATGTTAAGTATAGCAAAATTGTTCCTGCATTAAATTAAATAAAATTAAACAAATTTTAAATAAAAATAATAAATACTCTTTATTGCACACCCACAAAAAAAATGTACAAGAAAAATATAAAAAGAGCTATCTATGCACAAGAGGCGGCTTTATCGTAAAAACAGCAATCTCTTCCAAGCAACTTTAAGGTGTTGGAATTGACAAACTGTAAGAGGGAAGCCGGGTGAACTATAGTAGAAAAAAAAACCAAAACAATACAATAATAACAATAATTCATTTTAATACTATTAATAAATTAACATATCAAAAATACATACATACAAAAATTATGTTGGTACATAATAATAATTATTATTAAAATGCTTTGTCTGACTGACTGATCGATCAACGCACAGCCTAAACCGCTGGTCGTAGAAACATGATATTTGCTTTTTATGCAATGTAGGCATCCGCTAAGAAAGGATTTTCCGAAATTCATCCCGTAAGGGGGTAAAATAGGGGATAAAAGATTGTATGAAACTCTGTCATTCTTAACGCGAAATGCACAAAAAGTGGTATTTAGCTTTTAGATGAAAAATAAGAATATATTTAGATAAGAATATATTTAGATGAAAAATAAGAATTATATTTTTTTCGAAATTCATCCCTTAAAAGGGTAAAAGGGGTGATAAATTTTATATGGATAAACAATTATTTATGATCAGAATTACTTGAAACTTGGTATTAATGCTCTTCAATTTCAATTAAATAAATACGTGTTTTAGCATTTTTCGGAATTCATTCCATAAGGGGATAAAACTGGACGGTGAAGATGGAAGTTGTTGAATATATTTAAACAGAGTAACATGGCTCAAGTTCTCCGTAAGTACACATTTACTGTATAGGATATAAAGTAGAAACGGAAATTATTTCGAATCCAAAGGAAAATAATGTATAACTAATCAGCGAGCCACAGCAGTTACAACTATAACAGACATAACGCACGCGAGATAGAACCTAGCTAAAGAGTATCCTACTATCTATATTCTCTTTTTGAAGGTTGGTACAACTGTAATAAAAAAGTTATTTAAGCAATGTAACGGGATTAGAATGTGAGTACTTCATTAAACATCATAGTGGCCGCTGTATTCTATTGTGTTACTGCAAAAAATATGACACCAGTCAATCTTGCTCGTATCATACGCAAACGATCTAAATCCATTCCCGCAAAATTATTATAATCAACTGACATAAAAAATAAGGGTTATCTGAATATGCTCTACAAATCAATAACTTGATTGCTGATTAAAAAAAACAGTTGAATTACGAAAATTAAGTTTATAAGCACATTATTTCGTTTTCTTATATTTAGACTATACTTAGGCTACTTTTAAATTCATAATAAACATTTTTCGGAAATTATTTTGTATATTTTATAAATTTTACATAATATGTAAACTTCAATAATATCAATAGGGAAAGGGGGGAAAGACGGGATCTTCAGGGTATTTCATAAAAAAAACATGTATGGTCTTATAGAAATATTTATTTAAACTATGTATAATCAATTATTCTTCTTTTATAAAGTAATCAGTCAAAATTTATCATTTTATTATTTATTTTTAGGGTCGGTTTCTTACATTTTATCTTTCCTCTCATTTTCATATGTATGTATATATGAAGAAACAGTAATAATAGCAGTTTTTTGTCTGCTTCGAAGTTATCATATACATGGTTAATACAGTAAGCTTTAAAAAATTTTGAAACCATCTCATAAAGATTTTTGCAGTGATCCGTCCAGATTCTGGTCACTCAGCCCATAAATTCGGTAGGGCTCCATTGAGCAGTTCGTACTTTATAAGTTTTCTAGAATTTATACACATAGCGGGCATATGGGCTCTGCAACGTTAAAACAAATTTCAATCGTTATGCTTTTTCCCTTTAACGTTTTCACAGTTTTAGAAATCACGTTCGATTATCACCACACTTTCACCTATCTCACCTCACTTTAGCACCACTGAAACAACAGTTTGCAACCAACCAGCCAACACAAAACTTTATAACCTCCACTACTACTAAAAACTCTGTAAGGTGATGTTAGAAGTAGTTTCTAGGCTTTGCATCATTAGGTTTGATACTCATACGGTCCCTTACATAACCTGGCTACCTCGTCTTAGCCCATCTTCCTCTACATGGAATAAGATTTGCTTAAGCTGATTTTTCTTTATTCCTGATGTGAGTACCTGATGGTTCAGTAATAACATGATTTGTATATTTTTGGTTTATCACTAGCAAAATTATGATAAATGTAAAAAATATAATTACTATTAGTATCTATGTATTCTAAAGATTAAATGAACGTGTTATTTTAAAAAAGGCTTTGATTTGTTTTCTATTAGGTAAACTTTGTTATAAATTATTCTCCCCCTATTTAAAGAGTTAAAAGGTTATCAGATAAGCAATAAAAGTTTGCTTACACGGATCACTGGTATTTGACATAAAGTTGCCTATTGAACACACTCCCATAATAAAAACTTTTTAACAAAAAAATAAAAACCGACTACAAACAAAACACTAAAAAGTAAAAAATAACTAATTGGTAGTTTTCATTTACTATACATATCTAATCAAATATTTTCGAAGTGGGCATGCTTTGCTTTGTATCTGCTGGCCTAGTATATATATATATATATATAAACACATATATATGTATATATACATAATATAAATACAAAATAAAATTGTAGCTAAGCCGATCTGTACATAAAATATTTTTTGGAGAATCTTATAGAAATAGATATTATTACCGATAAAGGCCGAATCTATGTATAGTTTTAAAAAAATTGTCTGCCTGTCTTGTCTGTGACCGCATCACGGAAAAACCACTGGAGCAATTTTGAAGAAATTTGGGATAATGATAGTTGGTTATCCGGGTCAACATAAACATTACTTTTTACTGCGGAAAAATATCTGATCTCTGAGAAATCTATAGTAACCGTTAAAACGTAAGTAGGGACAAACGCAAACGGAGCGAGAGTGAGTCGCTTTTTAATCATATAAAGGTTAAAGTTGACGTAAAGAGTAATCACTGAACAGGTCAGCAATAAAAAATCATGTAGATTTTTATTAACGTCATCCATCTAATATGGGAAAACTACGCAAAATTCATGTTAGTAATAAGTTCATATACCCGTTAATTAATATATTACAATTAAAACTACATAAAGCGATAATTTTAAATGTTTTTACTATCTCTTTTATATGTGAAAGGTCTCATTTTAATAGGAAAATCCAAAATTTATTTCGAGCGTAAAACGTTCATTTTATGTAAACTACTAAACCACTTGTATAAACAACCTACTTGTATCGATACAGAGGCTGAATCTATAGTTTTTAGAATTTTTGTCTGTCTGTCTGTTACCGCATCACAGAAAAACCACTGGAGGGATTTTGATGAAATTTGGTATGGTGATAGCTGGTTTTCCGGGTCATTATATAGGATACTTTTTACCCTGGGAAAATATCTCATTTCTGAGAAAAAATACAAAAACTGCAATGTAAGAGTATATACTAATATGTAAAACCTAAGAATTTGGTTTTTGGTAATCTGAACGCGGGTGGGCGCGGGAAATGCTAGTATGAATAGATATAAATATTGTTCCCATATTAGGTTATAGGTAATCTATACGTCATATAATAAAAATTTTACTGAGTCGAATCATTTAATATTTAATATTTTTTGAAAAATCTTATTCAAATAGTTATTATTGTCGATACAAAGGCCAAACCTATAGTTTTTAGAATTTTTGTCTGTCTGTTTGTCTCTCTGTTGTGACCGAATCACGACGACGACGTGTACAGATTTTGAAAAAAATATGGTACGATAATAGCTGCTTATCCTCGTCAACGGGCATATAGGATACTTTTTACTGCAGAACAATATCTCATTTTTGAGAAATCTATATTAAACGTTTGACTTAACTATAAATTTACGTTATTACAGTATAAATTCCCACACATCCAAAAGGTGACTGAGGGCATCTTTATCAGTAGGTAACATAAATACGTTGGTGGTGACATTTCAACCTCAGATCGCTCGAGATCATCGTTCGCAGTACATTTGTAAATTGTATATTTGTTGTGTAGTATTGAGTACAAGTATTTTCTTTCATAATAAATAATAATTTCATTCTTTGTACAATGTTAGCAATTAAATTAACTATTTGTTTATTATTTCTATACAACTGTGGACTCGTTCATGGCATGAGTAAGTACTTATTGATATTTCTTACTTAACATTATTTAATACTTAGATTATTTTTATAAGTATAATCTAAGATTTAATACTTAAAACATTGATATATAAAACATAGATACACATTTCCTAATGAATATCCTTTCGAAAAGTGGCGTCGGCCTTATGTCAAACGAAAGAATAAAATTCAAAATTTGAAAGTTCTATTTGTCTAAACACAAATTTGAACTTACGCACACCACATATTAGTACTTTTTTAAACGAAGCAACGTCTGTTTTAATTATTTCATCCGCAAACCAATGAATAAAAGAGATTTGAAAAAAGCCCAATTTAATTTCGAATGGCGCGCTTTTTTGAGGAAACTTTTGATACGCTAACTGAGATTTTCTATATTAACGACTTAAAAGCTAAATTAAATTCTGTAAATTATTTGAATTGGATATAATAATAAATACCTACATATTTTATAAAAAATCATGTCTAACATTTTAACTATAATTAGAGTTCATACCACACATACATACATATTATATACATAAATACATAAATACATACATACATACATACATACATACATACATACATACATGCATACATGCATGCATGCATGCATGCATGCATGCATACATACATGCATACATGCATGCATGCATGCATGCATGCATGCATACATACATACATACATACATACATACATACATACATACATACATACATACATACATACATACATAGCCATTCCTGAGCCTTCTGCAGCACCTGGGCATAGGTAACGCCCTTAGCGGCCGCCTCCGGACTCAGTGTCACCACAATCGCCGCAGTGCGCGGGGCAGCGGCCACTTTTGGCTTAGCCGGGGGTACAGCAGCCCGCGATACCTTCCCAGCCGAATTTGGTCCACCAGCGCCGCTCGACTTGGCCCAGCCACAGCACCACTCGGTCCAACCACCGGAGAAGGTGGGGCCGAGGCAGTCGGTACAGGAGCAGCCTCAAGACGCGAGGATACAGAGGCGGCCTTCTTCTTCGTCTTCTTCTTCTTGCTCCCTGCCTGCGCCACAACCGCCACCGGTACTGGCGAATCCCGAGTTGAAGCCGGACAATGACCGGCGCGGCCGCCTCGCGACGTTTGTCCGCAGCCAGAGCCGGGCGAATAGGTCTTGCAGGCAGCAACCTATCCTCAATGCCCTCAAAGCGAGCATTCAAAATAGAGCCAACGGAGGCAACGATCGAGGCACGAATCTCCTCAAGCCAGTCGCCCCCGCAGGCTTTTGGCGGGCCATCCTTGGCCGCAGACAGCTCGGCCCTCAGTTCCGAGAACTCTCGGCGATATGCCTTAAGCTCAGATTTGAGAGCCTTGGTTTCGCGACGCAGGCGATTGTTGTCCGCCTGCAAGTTACGTACCTCCTCCATGGCCGTCCGATCCGCAAGAGCTTCCACAACTTTCTTAAGAATGCCAGCAGATTCCTTCAGTGTTCGCACCATAGTGCCCTTCAGGTTTCTGGATTTCTTGGCCACATCATATATGGCCTCCACACTCTTGCCGGCAGCTTCCTTTAGCCCCTGAGCTGTTTGCTCTGCAGGTTCCCGCTGAACCGCAGACTCTGATACTGACGGCTCGCCAGCAATGGACTTACTCGGCTTAGATTTTTTAAACGCCCGCCGAGCCAGTGCCATTTCGAACTCGTCCTCACGAGCCTCCTCCTCCATACTCTTCAGCTGTGCCCGCGCGCGAGTTACTCCGCTGCTCGTTACACCCTGAACGGGCCTTCCTCTACGCACCTTTGCTGTCCTTGCACTCACAGTCGCCTCCGTCTCCGTCTCGGACCCGGAGGACGACCTCAAAAGCAGCACACCATGGGGCCTCTTCCGCCCCGCCGATGTATACGTACAGGACCCATCTGACTCATTGCCCAACTCGGGCCATCCATCTACTACGCCAGTCACTGGCACCATCATGCCTCCGCCCATCACGGGCTCCACATCTAAATTTGGGTTTGGTTTTGGTTTTAAAATTGGTATCATAGTTGTTCCCACGAGTATGGGGGATATAACCCGTCCATCCGGGCGGTGCCCCCTGCACCCGAATAAGCCTTCACGTAACTCGCAAAGAGTGTCGGCCGGTACTCTTGCGGGGGAAGCAGTAGGGACCGATCTTCCCATCGGCCATGCATCCCCTCACGCTGCTTCTCCGCTTGAGATTGAGGTAATTTTTTAGAGAGGTTTTCTTCCTCGCAGCCCGGGCGGTTAAGCCAAGGCCCTCGGTCCCAGTCCCGGTCGCTAGACGTGATCAACGACACCGGGAACCGGGATTACGAGTTGAGGGGGGGGTGCACCCTGATGCTTGTCCGACTGCGCAATTAAGCACCCGCCGGACCCGCCCCACCTCGCGCTTTTCTGTCAGGGTGTGCTCCCTTAGGCCGTGGGGTTAACAAACCCCTAAAGGCACGCCCATGCCTACTGGTTTTGGTCCGCGCCGGTTGAACCGGTACCACCAATGTGGTGGCATTCCCCTATCCGCCTCCCGGGGGACGCGCCCAGTAGGAGTCCAGCAACTCCCCTGAGATTCTTATCTATACCTATAAAAAAACTTAGTCAAATCGATATTATCGATATTAACTTAATTTTGTATAGTGATAACTTAGTACTCGGGTCAACATTTAGGATACCTTTTACGACAGGCAAATTATTCATTCCCACGGGAAAACACAATAACTGGTTCTATCGAATTGTCCTTAAAAATTTATATGGCTAACGCTGGCTCAACCTTTAGAGTTCGATAGAAAAGTTCTCAATAGTATATGTCTATCTCCTAAGGTACACTCGCTATAACTATTTTCATTATTATATATTACTGTTTTATTATACGTTATTTATTCTATCTATAAATATAATAAAAATAAAACTATAGAGGTCGAATGTCTGTACATAAAAAAAAGTGCTAAAAACCGAGTCAGTTATCTTCTTACATCCCGTAAGAAGAAAAATAGAACAAAATTCCAGTTTTTTTCCATTTTTTTTGTTTCTCTCTCTGTTTGTATGTTTGTACGGGCTAATCTCCGAAACTTTGAGCACGATTTAAATGAAATTTTGCATAGTGGTATTTCCCCGGTCAACAATCTTAGATACTTTTCATCCCAGAAAATTAAAGAGTATAGTATCTTATACAACTTAGTACACAACAACTTATGCACCTCATTTAGTAAAATTTAACATTCTGATACCTTATATTGCCGGTCAAACAATAGGTAACTTTCATCCCGGAAAAATGAACAGTTCCCGTGGGAACTAATAGTATTAGTTTCCTTCTAGAGGAGAACCCGAGCGAAGCGTGGGTGAGCCGCTAGTATATATAATAAATTAAAAAAAAAGAAATGTTTAACCATTTCCGAGAAAAGTATGTTTTATGGTCTCTAGAGGCTCACCCAACTTCAAGTGAACGATTGCATTTAAAAAAAAATTGTTCAATTTTCAGATAGAGCTCATTCTTTTCGTCTTGAACTCAACTTTAAAAAAAAATAAAAATATTGTATGATCGTCCTGTAAAAATACTCTTAAAAATTAAAAAAATTGGAGAACTTTAAGTAATTTTTTTTTTTAATTTTATAAAAATTTGAAAAATGTTTACTTTGTTAAACTACATTTTTTTCAATTATCATTGAAGAGGTGTACTCTATTGACCAAATTTTTATAAACTGATTCCACCAATCAAAACAAAAAAGAATCTATGTATATACTTTTAATGACGCCGATGGCCCCAACTGCGTAGAAAACGCACAAGTGCACGCTCTATTTCTATCACTCTCTTACTCTAATGTTTAATATATACGAGTAAAGAGTATAGATGCATTATGTCATAGTATCACTGAATAAACACTAAAATAGCTTAGCTGTTATCACAACAGGAATTGGTATTTTTAATTGTATTTTTATTTTATTTTTATTTGGGGCTTTCATTATTTTCAGTGTATTAATTTTAAAAAAGCTTTTATAAGAAATGTTATGGCGGTTCATTTTCCTAGGCTATTAAGCCTGCAGATACCAACAAATATTTACATCAAGAATTTATGACCGTAGTATAAGACAAGGTCACACGTATGTATGATTAAATTTATATAATAAATAACGAATAAATTTTATGTTAAATAGAAAAATGCAGCGATTGTATGGAGATGCGCCTGTGTCCAGATGTAAGAAATTGGCCTCAAGAGGAAGTAAAAGAAAAACTGTTAGAGTCATTATGTGGGGTAAAAAAAACAGCTGACGGCAGAAAATCGATTAAGGTAAGGATCTCACCTAAAAACATAAACTTTAGTTATACGTGTTTAACTTATTTTCTACTGTTTAATAACATATTAATATCCTGCTGATCGATTTGCTATTAGAGCAGCCAATCTCTCAAAAATATCTCTACAATTATTCTGTAAAAACATGCATTGGATATAACACGTAAAATTCTCTTTTTATAAAGATTTATAGATGTAAATAATGAAATTAGACAATACTTCGGGCTATTAAGAATGTACATATAATACCATTACTATATCGATCTTGTAATTGTCATTAACTTCTTCAATATATTTCTGTGTTTTTTGATAAACTAATCTATTCACTAGTTACTTTAACCTGTTTAATTTATATAGATTTGCTGCTCCGATTTTGCTGAGAATCTAATTTCGCGGCAGAATGAAGCAGGGGATACTGAAGTTGACATTGATAATCACTCCAATATAGGTCTACTTCCGGAAAATTGTGGCAAGCAGTTTGACGACCGCATAATTGGAGGAATTGTTTCAGGCATATACGAATTCCCTTGGATGGCACTTATCGCTCATGTTAACATAGACTCCAATGGTAATGAAATTATATTACTACTAGCAGTACCCGCGGCTTCGCCCGCGTTCACACTAATAAAAAAACTCTTTGGCTTTATGTTATAACTAATCATGATTTGATGGCTGTAATGATTTTGAGATTTTATGATATAAATATAAAAACAACACAGTTTTTACCAATATCTTTATTCTTTACGCACTAAAATATATTTTTTTACGTTTTCACAATACAAACATACTTTATTACTTGCACAAATAACCTCGTGTTTCTTAAATATATTATGAAAAGCAAATTTAATTTTAGTGATCGTAACTCAAAATATCCAGTACATATTTTAAAAGATATTTAACGTAAATTCTGTAATTAATTTTTTTCAAAATAGCAAACCCCACTATCTCTATTTTTGGCACATTTTTCTACTCCATCTTTCCAAAGTTAGAGGAAGAGAGTACAATGAAATAACTACAACATACATACAACGTTTACGACTTTAGAATCGTGTAACTCGGCTAATACGGCCTTTTTAGCTAACAGGCTAACCTAACATCTACGTTATTTTTAAAAACCCTATGTATAAACCTAAAACTTACAGTCTCCGTCCTTTTTTAAAATAAGTCATCCGTTACATAAAATATAAAGTGCCATTCGTTTTTATAGCTATCTGCCTCCGGCTTCAATTGTATTGAGTAAAAAATTACTTAGTTTCAATTTAAATTGAATTTATACGTTGCCATATCGAATTCGTAATATTATATGTACATTAAAGTAATCAATCTAGATTCACTCAACATAATCTATTCTGTCTGGTTCAGCGTTTTGCTAAAATACCATAGGAGAAGCAATACTATCTTAAATCTATGCCTGTCTCTTGTAACGACTGGTCCTGAGATTTATTAATGGTCATTGCAAAGGAAACTTCAAGGAGCAATTACAATACATTAATGGGGTAGTCAGAGGTTATCAGTGGTATTCGAGGTATGAATACTGATTCTCCCGACTCCGAGCACATCCAGCAAGCACAGTGGCCACTATAATGTTTTAGAGTAACTCGCAGTCTAGTCCCGTAACATAGTTAGGTGGCTTATTAATTACAGGTGTGCCAGCCTTCAGGAAGAGTTTATGAGAAAAAAGGAAAGGAGGTCTGGTGGGTTAACACTGTTAGGGAACTTCATATTATAGAAAATTGTTTCGTCTATTTATTTACATCACTAACTCGACAGAACTATATTCTATTTCTGACCCTTCAGAGGACTTGAGCTAGATTTTATTAAAAGCAGTAGCACTGTTGGTTTTGGGACTCAGTGTAGTACGTTCACATAACTAAGCCAAGACTCCCTTTGTATATATACCTATTAGAAACATCATGATACACTCTAGCTAGGTTTTCTCTCTCGCGCGCTCTAGGTCTAGTTGTCACTGCTTTGGGCAGCCGAGAATTTGTCCCTAATTTTTCCTTGGATTTGGAGTAATCTCTGTTCTCTATTTTATATCTCACTCAGTGAGTACTTTCGGAGAACTTGAGCAATGTTACACTATTTAAATATATTTCGCATATGGAATTCAACTCGGGAGTTTAAACGTAGCGTAAGCCGTTTTACCACCTTCCAGATAAGACCACAGCTAATGTAATCCCCCGATTACTTTTTAATTTGGCCAAAAGCAATTTTAATTTATAAAGAAAGCTTTTTTAAGTGTTTAATTGTTTCGTTAATTAATCGTCAATAGCATTCATGCTGATTTTTAAGTCAACTCGACCCTAATAATATTTTTACTCTTTCGAATTTCGAATAATATGACTGATAACACGTATTGCTTATTTTTATATTGAATACTTAATTTAACAATAAAAATGGCGAATTTTGTTACCAACTTTACCACCCATTTTATCCCCTTACGGAATAAATTACAAAAATGTTAAAACACGTGTTTATTTAATTGAATTGAAGAATAATAATACCAAGTTTTTAGTAATTCTGATTATAAAATTTACCTTAAACCATTACAACCTTATGCCCTTTTAAGAGATGAATTTCGAATAAATTTGATATATGTATTGTTTTATTTTATATTTTAAAAATAGATAGATTTGAAACAAACTTTCATCCCCTATTTTAAGACATTTTAGGATGCTTGAAGAGCATTAATATTAGGTTTCAAGTAATTCTGATCACAAATATTTTTTTGGGTTGTTTATAACGTGTTTTCCCGTTGGAATGAGATGATCTCCCGCGATAAAAAGTAGCCTATGCCACTCTCCAGCTCTCCGTTTCGACCTGAATAAAGACAAACTAACACACTTTCATATTTATAATATTAGTATGGAAATATCGATAAATGTTATTAGAGAAATTTGGAAATATATTTTTTTTATTTTAAAAGTCAATAAATAAATCCACTCTTATGTTATCCTATAGGAAAAGAGAAACGACAATTTAAGTGCGGGGGATCAATAATCAGCTCTAGATATATTTTGACCGCCGCACACTGTGTCTCGGAGAAGACGATCGCGGGTGTACGTGTCGGTGAATTTAACATCCGTACACGTACAGATTGTCAAGGAGAATGGCCAAGTTATATTTGCGAAAACCACCTACAGGTATGCAGTATATTCACCCAAAATTAATATTAATTTTATTTTGAATTAACATTACTTTTTTATATCATCTTTAAGAATATTCTCTTTATTTTCTTATTACAGCATTTTACGATTGGCTAACAACAAAATTTAAATATTTTTACATTTTAATATATCTAGGATATCCGTGTGGAAAAGACAATAATTCACGAGGCGTACAGCCGAAGCCCGAGAGTCAGAAATGATATTGCAATACTCCGAGTTAACAAAGAAATCGACTTTTCGTTTAGTGAGTATTATACAATTTAGTTATTTTAATCTATAATTTAATATCTATTGTAATAATGACTTGATCTACCACCGTGGTAGAATATTATTACCAATGTTGCATATAAAGAAAATGTTAAATATATTTCATAATTTACATTATTTTATTTAACATCTTGTGTCTTCTTGAGTCCCTATATAGTAACATACTGAAACCCTTACGAAGTTATTTTTCTCTGTTATATGCACCTACCTTCCTAGTACACATTTTTTTAATTATTAGAAGACTTAGCACTTAGACTAAAAACCTACAAGCCAAATAAAATCAAATCAAAATTTCGAAAAATATCAGCAATAACTTATAGAGTAGGTATTCCAATTTATAAAAATATGAATACCATCTTTTATTTTTCTCTTCATTTCCATTTCAACAATGAAATTAAAAGCATAAATAAAAATAACTGAAAAATCTCGTATTGTTTTGTTTTAGAAAATGTCAAGCCGATTTGTCTACCGGTGTGGAAAGAACTCCGTAACGTTAGTCTCAGCGGGAAACGAGCTACAGTCGCTGGGTGGGGTATTACAGAAACAGAAAATCCGTCTAATATTCTTCGAAAAGTAACTGTACCAATTATGGCAGAAGCCTATTGTGCTGAATTCTTTGAAAGGTAAACCAATATTTTTATGTGTGTTGTAATTTTAAAAGCAAAATTGCTATATAATGCATATGACAAACTATTGTATTCAGCCCTTTTTAACGTCCCACTGCTAAGCACGGGCCTCCCTTCAATACGAGGGGGATCAGGCCATAGTTCACCACGCTGGCCAAGTGCGTGTTGGTGGACTTTACAAGTCTTTCGATAAATTGTTAGATTATCCCAGAAATGCAGGTTTCCTCACGATATTTTCTTTCACCATAAAACGAGTGGTAATCATGTTAAAAATGATTCGCACATGAAAATATCAGAGGTGCGAGACCCGGGATTTGAACCCGCTTCGCTCGGTTACCCAAGCGAGCGCGCCACCCCTTGACTACCACTGCCTTAACCAAAAAAAACACTACATTTATTATATTTCCAGATACTCTGACCACATTTTTAAGAATTTTTGCGCTGGTGAACTCGGTAAAGATTCCTGTAAGGGTGACTCTGGAGGTCCTCTTATGTTGTTTGAAAAATATAAAGACAGCTACCGCATGATTCAGTACGGCATTGTGTCCTACGGCCCGTTATTGTGCGGGTCTGATTCGCCAGGAGTGTATACTGATGTTGCTAAATACATGAAATGGATTTTAGATAGTATGAAAGAATAGTGTAAGAATATTTCTAATGACACATACTTAACAAATTATGTAATAAAATATTAAATACACTTTGTTTTACGTTTTACTATTAATTAAATCCATCCAAAGGAAGATACAAAAAACTTATTCCCGTGTTTTTTTTTATTATATTTTGTACTAGGTATATTATGCGGATCAAGGCATGAATGATGCAGAATAAATTAAATGGATGATGAGAGAATGCTGAGAAAATTGTTCTGTTGCTTTAGGTTAACCTTAAAATCGTACATTAAAGTATTATGTATCGATTCCTTCAAATGAATCGTACAGTAATTGATGTAGGTGATTCTTAATTATTCTTAAAGCATTCATAATTTTTAACCGACTTCGATATATCTAGATTTACAAACGCATTATTTCGTTTTCTTTTATTTAATTTTAGACTATACTTAGGCTACTTTTAAATTCATAATATACATTATTTGGACATTATTCTGTATATTTGATTAATTTTACATAATACGTAAACTTCAATAGTATCAATAGGGAAAGGTGGGGTAAGACGAAATCTTCTGGGTATTTCATAAAAAAATATATTGTTTTATAGGAATATTTATTAAAACAATAATCAGTTATTCTTGTTTTTTCATAGGTTCGGTTTCTATTTTGTCTTTCCTCTTACTCTTATATTTATATATAAAGAAGTGGTAATAATAGCAGTTTTTCGTCTTCTTAGAAGTTGTCTTTTCCTTTTTTTAAATGGGTTAACTAGAAACGAACGTATATGAAAATTAACAAAAAGCAATAGCTACTGGAAAATAATATAAGAAACATAACTATGAAAAAGAGTAAAAAATATGAAAACCTAAACGCGTTTAATGAGTACAGATTGTATTCACTTAAACTATCGAGCTTTGCGGTATTTTGTGACTATCCACCAAAAATACTGAATACTACAGATAATCAAATCAAATAATGGAACTCAGTATTTTACATTAATCAAATAAAAACTCGTAAACGCATGCATGAATTGAAAATAATATATTTCTATTTTAAAATCTTATAGTCCAAGATCCCATTTGGTTGCCTCTGTAAGTAGGAAAAGTGAGTTTAGGAGGTGATTGGCCCCTTGGATCGGTCTGTCTTCTTGTAAAAGGTTTTAAAATAGTTTTCTGGTGAACATATATAAAAATGGAGCATCAGAATTTACGTGAAGTTAAGTAATAATTTTGGAACCTTTAAAACGTTTGCAAAGCAATACGGCCGGCGGAAAGTGTCTGGGAGTCTTCTTCTTCTTCTCCCTGCCCATTTCCCAAATCACTTGGGGTCGGCGCAGTACATCTTCAGTGTACTGCTTATAGGATTTGGCAAAAGTTTTACGACCGGCCGCCTGCCTGACGTCAACCCTCCTTGGAAAGTGTCTGGGAGTATTGACGACTTATTTTTAACGATATTGTCTAAAATATACGTGAATATGAGAATGTACGTGAGGTAAGTAATCTTTTGAGGTACCTCGATTACCTGATACCTTTTTTTTTTTTTTTTAACGTTGGGAAATGCATTTACGCACGACGTGTGGGACTCACCGGCGTAATACAGCCAGTACTACCCACTAAAACCCAACAAAACCTTCCCCCGTCTTAATGGGGCGTCGCAGGATCGCTTACGCATTCAACTACGACGCCCCGACGGCAGGTCTGCCAAAGCAGACCACCACAACCATGGGGTTGCTCCAAGGTCCACTCTGCTATCAGAGAAGTACCAGGAGCAACCCGCAAGGTACACCGCCCCCCGAAGAGGGCCACCTCCCGCCGCCCACCGAAGTGGGCAACCTCCCTGTGCGTTTCTTAGCTTCGCTACTACTACTGAGCCCCCCCACCACGACAAGGTGAACGCACGTTGGGGGGGGGGGATTACCTGATACCTGGAAAAAGGCCGTCTAACCAAGTTAGTAGGTAAACATGCGATCTTAGTACATACTAACACTACCCAATCGTCCACATTTTGTTCGTCAAAAAATACGTGACGTCTGGCGACCCTGGAATCTTGCTCTATTATAGTCTGATTTTTAATTCCACGGAAATATGACAGCTATCATTCTTTGACAATTCAGATATCATAAACCTTTTCTGCTTTGTATTTTTTTTAATATAAAATAACCAAAAATGTGAAAAAGAATTAAATAAATTAAACTATATGTTAGGTTAGGTGTAAATAGTCTTTGTTTTGTGCATCCAATGCACACTAACTATAATGTTATTTTTTTAATGGTTAAATGAAAAAAACAGAGTAAAACAAAATATAAGAAATGAAAATATTTACTAATCATTATTACTTATATCGTCCTTGTCGTCATCATCCACTCGGATTATAAAAGAATCACACAAACTGTCCATCAGATCATTAAGAGGCACATTTTACCCCTTCCTTTTATAATATGGTTTATGCATTCTTGCCAAAAACAATAATAAAAAATCGTGAATGATCGTTGGACGTGGACCTGTCTTTTTGGGACTTTCCAATTCTTTTTGCCAATTGCAAAGATTTTACAAATAAAGGGGTTTCCTAAAAAAAGGCTTGCAACCTATGTATTATTGAACAGGGATTCCTGTAATAAAAAAAATAATTTCCTTAATAACTATTTTAACTTCGATAATATGATAATAAAAAAATAATTACCATTTTAGAGTTATCAATATTTTTTTAAATCTTAGTTTTTCTAATTGAAACCTTCAATAATTTAAAGTTCTTAAATTAAATTCAAGAAAGGTTTATTTTTTATTTTGCTAAAATGCTTTTTTCTGAAATGTCAGAATTCCGCCGAATTAAAAATCAGACTATAGTAATCTAATGACAATTTTCACTTTTAATGTGCATAACTCTTAATAGTCTAATCGGAATTCGGTTTGTCTAGTTAGTCTCTGTCCAGCTACACCCGAGAAATGGGAGGACGCAAAGCGTTGAAAAATAGTTTTTTTCAATTTCCGGCTTACTGTGTGACGTTCTATCGAAAAATATTTTGTACAAATGTTAAAGGTTTAGTAAAAAATCTACAACTTTTTTAGATAACACTTTTTACGATAATCTCAAAGTTTTCGAGATATTTGCAGAAAACTCGGTTTTTAAATTTATCTTGAGTTTTTATTTTTATTTCTAGAATAATCTTTTGATTTCCATGGAACTAAGGGAATGTAATCTTCAAAATACATATAATAATTAAAAAAAAGAAATTGAAATATTTACAGAAGTTTTCCGTTTCTGAGAAAAGTATGTATTATGGTCTCGATAGGCTAAAAATCATCCCCAACTTCAAGTGGGCGTTTACATTTAAAAAAAATCATTTAATTTTCAAATAGGGCTCATTCTTTTCGTCTTTTTGAAAATATAAAAATATTGTATGGTCGTCGTGTAAGAACACTAGGTATATATATGTGTATATGTATATATGTGTATATATATATATACATACATACATATACAGGGTCATTTTTAATTTACTGAAGACCTTTTGGGAATATACTATTTACATCATAACAACAACCTCGGTAACAAGAAAAAATTATATTTCTTAAATTTTCATTTTCATACAAAAATAAAAATATTTTTGTTGCACCTTCTAAACGGTGAAGTTCTAGCATCTGGCCAAGTTTAAATGAGTAAGGGCCACTTCCTACACCCCTTACTAATTGCTGGACTATAACCTTTTAAAGGAGCAATAAAAATACTTTTATTATTGTAAAATTTATATTTTTAATTCTATATTCGTTATAATTTTAAAAAAATATAATGAATATATATATATATATATATATATATATATATATATATATATATAATGTCCTTTATCAATACTATAATACGAACTGATCGTAAGAGCAAAAATTATAAAAAAATAAATATTCGTGAGCCTGTAACTTTGTTGTTAATGATGATATGAAAAAGTTGATTTTTGACATTTTTTTTTGAATTTATCGATATTTTAGTAGTTTTTGTTCGATTTTGGAGCTCATTTTATTGGTTTTTCTGTAAAATTTGATTTTAAGGTAATTACAGAAAGAAATGAAATTCATTCATACTCTAATCTTGTTTATTCATTAGATTAAAGTGAAAGAGAGTTAGCGCGTTAGTTAACTATTTGTTGCCATGGTAACCGTTGTTATTGTCTGACAAATGATATATAATATTATATTATTTCCTTCTTTTCTTTTCATTGCGGCCACTTTTACATAGGTAGAGGTATTTTATCATGCACAGAAAAAAATTAGCCTTAATTTGATATATAAATGATGAATATACGCCATGAAGGTATAAACGTAACAAAATATGACATGCTTATACCTGGCTGCGAAGAGGTTGCGGCCAAGTGCGCAACGCAGCTATCACTTTTCAAGATCTCCTAGCGGGCACATTTCAATAGGCACCCCCGTCAAAACATATTGTCCCTTTTATTATTGTATATAAAAAATTGATTTTGATTAAATACGCTATGAACGTAGCAATTTTGCAGCCGAATCTCGATCCATATGAAAACTTGTATAACTAACTAGACTTACATCTATGTATATGTATAAAATATATAATTAACGTTATTAATAAAGATATTTAAAGTCTATAATATAATGATGATACATCCACCATTTTTGATAAAAATTAACTAGTGTTTGCAATATGTTTTTACATACAGCGTTGAAAAAACGAAGATAAATTCATTTTCATGTAATTTATCTTTTTATTGACAAGATCGCTCTTGTCAATAAAAGCTCTTGATGATATTTTACTTGTACTATAATTGCAATTATAAAGATATAGAGAATTCTTAATTTATACCCAAATAAACATTTACAACTTTTGCACTGAATAATAAATACCTAAAGTAGGTAATAGAAAAATATGAATATGAAAAGTATTACACAGATGTCAATGGTATAGCGAATATTAGATTGTGTGTATGTAAGCCCCCTTAGTATGTGGCGACTACTTGTATTTTATGTATGATACAGTATAAATAGACAGTGATAGTGCAGAGTCTTGAAAGAGAGAGTCTTGAAAAACCAGCAAAGTGGTACCTATGTGGGAATCATTTCCAACATGATTACCACTTGCTAATATAGTAAATAAAACATCGATGTGAGATCCGCCTGGCCTCGCATCGAAAACGCATCGCATTATTTGGGACGTTAAAAAGGGTTGAATATTATTACAGTATGAGTTTAATATATTTATATACAGAATTTAATATATTTAAGATGAATATATATGTAAATATAACTGCGCGCATGAGCGTCAACGCCTATCAAAAAGGTGACTAAAAGGTCAATCTGTATACAACATATACACGGTGGCAGTGAAAACATTTAAACCTCATTTGGCTGGAGATCCGACTAGAACACAAATGTAGCATAGTGATGAGAACAAGTACTTAGTAACAAATTTGATAATTATTATTCTATTCACAATGTTAATGGTAAAATTAATTGTTAGTTTATACATTCTTTACAAATGTGGGTGTACTCCTGTCTTGAGTAAGTATTGATATTTCCTATATTTAATCTAAGTTTATACTTTAGATGGACGTTTGGATGTTTGTTACTTAACCACGCCAGAACGGCTGAACGGGTCTGGATGAAATTTGGCACAGAGACAGAATAGAATCTGGAATAGCACATATTTATCCCGGAAAAATTTACGGTTCCAGTGGAATAGATTTGTTCTTGTTCTTCTAACTTTAATAGAGTTTTAAGATACTTTAAGAGAGTTTCAAGGTATTTTTTTATTATAATGTACATGAAATCTGTGTTGCCTAGAAAATATTAGACGCAGTTATCTATAACTCTTCTCACGAAATTTTACATTAATTTCAAATATGCATGTTATAACGTTACATAGCTAAATTATTGAGGATTTTAATAAAATACATATATATATTACGCTTTATAGAATAATATCTTGAACAATATATTAAAATAAATAGTTAAAAAATTGTCATCCTATTTGTCTAACAACAGCAATAGCAACATGATTAAAAATATACGTATGTTCATACAAAAATATATTAACAAATAACATTTATATTACATAGAATCATGCAGCGATTGTATGCTGGTTCGCCAGTGTCCAGATGTAGTGAATATACCTCCGGAGAAAGCAAAAGAAAAATTGTTAAATTCACTTTGTGGAAGAACAAGAGATAATGGAAAAAGAGCAATTAAGGTATGATTCTCACGTATAATCTGCTACATCTGCATTCATTTTGGTGTTTTTTTTTTCATTTTTAGTATAGACATAGTAGTAGCAAAATGATAAGAATGTATTTCAAAAATTCATTAAATGGAAAATCAATCATCTATGTTATACATCTAGGGGTGGATTTATTTATAGATCATATGCAATAAAAAAATAATCATTGAAATCGGACAAAACTGTAAAAAGTTATGCGTGGTCAAAACATTAAAAAAAAAAAACAAAATATACTAAAGAACTGAGAACCTCTTCCTTTTTTTCGTCGGCTAAAAAGAGACATTTTCAGTAACATTTCAACTTTTTTATATATTAACTGGTAATTTATTAAAAGTTTTCAATTAATTAAACTACTTATTACTACTTAGTCTATACTATTACAAAAATATAAACATATTATTAGTATCAACCGGTAAAAATAATTATTCTGTAATTTATTGGATTAGTCATGTGCTGCAATTATTATTAATAATTCACCGATATCACATGTTCAATTATTATTATTAAAGTGGATGTTACTTTAATGCTATGAACTCTCGACAGCTAATCTCACTTAAAGTAATAAACAAATGTGTGTGCAAAAACTGGTGAACTCTCCATATCCAACATCAAAACTCATACTTTATTTTAATATTGATATAAAATAAAATTTAATGAAATTTACATTATAAACTTATATCCACTAAGGACATAATAATAAGTAAATCACTTTAAAGCACCATAAGAATATCGTATATCTGTGCTCAACTTTAAAGCTATTAACACGAAAGTTGAATTGAGTTGAAGAATATCGTATTTAACGACGAAGTACAACTGTAGGTATATTTAGACTATCGCTCTTTCCTGTACAATATATTTTCTTTTTTATAACGCTTCTATTCTTAATCCCTCCACGACCGCGGACACGGCGGCATTACAGTTAACAATACATTTCTTAGAACTTTAATTAATTTCTTAGAAATTTACCTGGAGGTGTTAATGATTTATCCATTTATAACTCTTTAGATTTGCTGCTCCGACTTCGCTGTGCCTGGGACCATAAAAATTTTTTCGAGACTGCCTGAATTACCAATTATTGATGATACTGACTATGATGCAAATAACATTGATAATCATACAAATACAAAATTACTTCCGGACATTTGTGGCCAAAAGTTTGATTATCGCATTATTGGCGGAAATGAAGCAGGAATATTCGAATTCCCTTGGATGGCACTTATCTATCATAAAGATAACAATGGTAAACAGATCTTTTTCTTTATTCAATACTCTTGAACCTGTGTAGGATAAATCTCGCGACAAGCTTTTATCTATCTATACATATAATAAAATTCTGAGTGGAATCGGTACATTAAATATTTTTCTTAGGCCGAATCTAATGTTTTAGAATTTTTGTCGGTCTAAAAGTTTGCAATATCAAGCATATATCTATTTCCTAAGGTACAATCACAATAGCTATTTATACTCGAAACGCACCCGAGTGAAGCGAGGGTAAGGCCTAGTGTGCTTAATATAGCTACAATCATCCAAAGCAACATATATCCAAAGGATCCAAATAATTGCTCTTCGTCTTAAATTACTGCCACGCGAGTCCGGTCCTCCATTAGATTTTGTATCTTGACCGTGACAACTCCTCGTGTGTATCTCGTAGACATTTAGAGTGATTCATCACTCATTAAAGAAAACCGTAATAATTCAGCCAATATCACACATTTTGTCACATTTTTTTGTTACATAAGCCTCGTCACCTTACTCATTTAATCGAGTAGTGTAGTAGTACCTGGGCTACCGGAGTTTTTTGCCTAAAGTACAATTTTCTTTTTTTTTAAACTAAAAACTTGAATAAATATTAAAAAAAACAAAAGTAAAAACTTTGTATGCGACCGAGATTCGAACCTGGAAACCTGTGATTGTTGATCTTGCACCTTGGCTGCTTGACCACGATGCTTATGCCCGAGCGTGCAAATTACCGACCACATTTTACGTGGAATAATGCAAAAGAAAACTGTACGAAAATTCGAAAACACACGTTTTCTCAGACATAAGACTAATGTAGATCGATTTATCGCCCCCGAAACCTCCTGTATACGAAATTTCGTGAAAATCGTCAACGATTTAAAGCCGTTTCCGAGATTCAGATTATATACATATAAGTATATACAAGAATTGCTCGCTTAAAGATATAAGATAAGCACTACATACAACCTCACCTACGTTTATATTATTGTTATCCTATAGGACAAGCACTATTGGATTGCGGAGGATCCGTAATTAGCTCTAGATATATTTTGACTGCTGCCCATTGTGTGTATGATAAGACAATCACGCGTGTACGTGTTGGTGATTTTAACATAAAAAAACAAAGATATTGTCAAGGAGCATATCCGTATTATGAATGTGAATTAAAACCGCAGGTATAAAGTTTTCTTTGCCTAAAATTTATATTAAAAAAAGCTATTTTATAATTGCATAAAATAATAAAATATTTTATAGAACTAATTTTCAAATGACTTTCCTCACTTGTGATTTCTTTCATTTTGTCTTATTGATATAATCATACTAATAAAAATGTATATATACAGGATCTTGCCAACCGTATTATATACTAACTAGCCTTAACTCATATACTTTGAAATATTTTATTTAATTCATAGGAATTGCAAGTTGAGAAACCAATAGTTCATGAGAAATATAGCAAGGACCATTACTTGATTAATGATATCGCATTACTTCGAGTTAACAAATCGATAGATTTTTCCTTCAGTGAGTATCTTTCTATCTATCTTTAACTAGCATAACTGGTAGGCAAACGTGTGGCCACAGACCTCGCTGACAAGATATTTATTTATTGACCAGGGTAACGTATGTTATCGTAAGGTAAGCAAACGAATACATCCCACTTTCCACTCTCTCAAGCGTCTCCAATTTTTTCTCCTTTTTACAACCAAGATTACGGTTACCCAATCCTTCCTTCTCCCCATACTCGACTATGATAATGTGTGATGTTTAGATGTGACTGTGGAGCAATTTAACAAGTTAGAAAGTCTCCAAAATTTCTTCATTTCTTTTCTTTCATTCACTCTTTCAAATAATCTCTACTCCCTTACGTTCCAGGCGGCATTGCATAACTTCGATGCTGGACATTCACAAGAGAAACACTTAGTACGTTTTGCATTCTTTTTCGATAACATGCAACAAAAGAGCAATCTCTCAAACAAACTCTCTAAAACCATCCAACAAAGTCCCTTCATTACTTCCTTTAAAAACAAAATAAAGTAGCACTTTCTCACAGTAAGTTAATCCACAATAACTATCATAATAACTTTCATTGTGTATTTTAAACGTAGATATTATAATATATAGAAATGTTTTTATATGTAGAATTTGAACCTGCCCTATAATACTCTTTCTCACTACCATAAGTTAACTGAGATCTCTTTTAGAAATAAGTCTACCTTTGCAAGCTTTTATTGTATTTTAATAACTTTTTTATTGTAAGTGCAATTAATAAAAGTATAAGTGTCTATGGTAGAGAAAGCTACAAGAGGAATAAATAGATGTCACATTATATCTTCTTTATCCTGTAGTTTACCGCAGCTTAATAACAATAATAATAGCGTTGTTTAAACAGGAAATGAAAATTTTTGTAGGAGTTTGTCAAGTTTGAAGTTTAATTGTGCTCATTTCTTGTTAAAAAAATATGTTTTACTTGTATCTATAACAATCTTTTTTTTTAGGAAATGTCAAACCGATTTGTTTACCGGTGTGGAAAGAGATTCGTAACATAAACCTCAATGGAAAGGCTTCTGTGGTCGCAGGTTGGGGTCTTATGGACGACGGAAAACGGTCAGATATACTTCAAAAAGTAACTATACCGATAAAGCCAGAAACCGAATGTGCTAATTACTTTAGTAGGTGAGGTGGATTGGATTCTTTCTCCTTGTAATCTTATATGAAGAACAACTAGCAAATATAATGTCTATACTAAACAAAAAAAATGTATTTATTAACTATATTTTCAGAGACTCAAACCGAAAGCACAGCTTACATAAGATATTTTGCGCTGGTGAAATAGGAAAAGATTCCTGTAACGGCGATTCTGGAGGTCCCCTTATGATATTTGATAAAATATATGATGACAACTACCGCATGATTCAATTCGGCATTGTGTCTTACGGCTCGCAGATGTGTGGATATGAGGCGCCGGGAGTGTATACTTCTGTTCCCAAATATATGAAGTGGATTTTAGACACTATTGAAGAATAGAAAAAAAATTAATAGTACTTAATATAAAAACCTTTGAAAACTTTTTTGACAAAATTAGTAGAATTATGCAGAAAAATATTTGTTTAATTTATAAAGTGGTAAATTAAAAAAAATGCCACCTTTTTAATCTTATCCCATCAAATAATGATAATATATTCCTGTGGCAATAGATATTACCATACATACATACATACATGTTTACGCAATTATTTTTCATGAATAAATAATAAATGTCGTTGTCGTTGTTTTTATTTTATAAATATGTAAATACTAAAATAATGTGTTAAGTATAGCAAAATTGTTCCAGCATTAAATTAACTAAAAATTAAAGTTATAAAATTTTAATGACTTTAATTTATTATAACCCTGGTGATCAACTCATATAAAAGCGTTATCTGAATATGCTCTACAAACCATTTTCTTTTGTTTCGGTTTTAACTATTTCATTTTTCTTCTCATTCTCGTAAATGAAATGTAAACATATATGAAGAAGCAGTAATAATAGCAGTTTTCGTCTTCTTCGAAGTTGTCTTTTCCTTTTTTAAATGAGTTTATACAAGTTAATATAGTAAGCATTAGAAATTTTTGTAACCACCTCATAAAGATTTCTGCAGTGATCCATCCAGAATCTGATCATTCAGCCCATGAAATCAGTAGAGCTCGATTAAGCTAGTGCTTTACAAATTTTCTAGGATATATAAACATTAAACATAGCGGCTTCTGGGCCCTGCAGCGTTAAAACAAATTTCAATCGTTTATACCTTTTCCGTTTTTAGGCGTTTTGACAGTTTCAGCGATCACGTTCGATTGTGACTTTGGCACCACTTAGACACCAGTTTCGTCGATAACTTTACATTCGAGACTAGTTTGAAGGACAAGCCTAGCCTCCACTTAGGTAAAGTTAGTAAGGTGATGTTAGAAGTAGTTTACAGGCTCTGTATCTGTAGGCTTGCTGTCGTCCCTTACCTAATCTGGCTACCCCGCCTTACTCCATCTTCCTCTACATGTCATGACATTTGCTTAACTAATTTTTCTTTGTTCCTGATGAGAGTTCCTGGTGGTTCAGTTATAACATGATTTGTATATTTATAGTTTATTACTAGAAAAATTATGACAAATGTAAAAATATAACTACAATTGGTATCTATGTCTTCTAAAAGTTAAATTAAACGTGTTATTTAAAAAAGGTTTGATTTGGCAACCAATTATAACGCTGGTATATCTATACTAATACTAATTATATTATATATATAATATTATAAAGAGGTAAAGTTTGTGATCTTGTGAGTTTGTGAGTTTGTGACGTTGTAGGGGGTAATCTCTGGATCTACTGAACCGATTTTCAAAATTCTTTTACCAATAGAAAGCCACGTTTTTTCTGAGTGTCATAGGCTATATCTGGTATATATTAACCCGAAAAATGAAAAGGCTTTTTCGTGGTAGTCGGATTTGCAAAGTCGGAGAAAAAACGGTCGAACGAAAACGTCCGGACGAAACGTTTCGCTACGTCATTCATTATACGTGCGGCTAAGGATTGGAACAACCTGCCGGCGTCGGTGTTTCCGTCCGAGTACAACATGGGTGTCTTCAAGGCAAGAGTGAATAGGTGGCTACTGAATTAGTGTGACTTACCATCTACGACTGCGTTACCACTTACCATCAGGTGGAACGCAGTCAAGCACTAATTCAGAATACAATAAAAAAAAAAAAAAAAAAAAACGTTTCTTACGAACGCTGCCTTAACGATGAGAGATATATGATTATGTTCTAGAGAAAAGTTGTAGAGCTTAATAATGCCTACAAAAAAGTCAGCGACAGCATATGTCCAACATTTATATATAAAAAAATAATTTAAATCGGTAGGTCATGTTTATTGGTCATATTATCAACAATTATGAATTCTTATAAAAATAAGTAAATTTATCGTCTAAAATGTTTAAAACACAAGACTTTTCCCTTTACTGCATATAATTTGGACAAATGGTTAAAGAGATAATACAACATATTCGTAGGTATGGACGAACCCGAGCGAGCTGTTTGTCTGTTTTTCTGTTTGTACGGGCTAATCTCCGAATCTATTAGACCGCTTTAAATTAAATTTTGCATGGCGGTACCTTATATCCCCGAGCAACATCTTAGATACTTTTCATTCCGGAAAATTAAAGAGTTCCCTTGGGATAGTTAAAAAACTATAACAACTTATACAGCTTAGTACACAAAAACTACTAATTGGATTTTAATGAAACTTTACAATAATATAGTTCATACATGACAAAAATCATCTACTTTTCATCCCGGAAAATTATAGAGTTTCCGTGGGATAGTTAAAAAACTATAGTAATTTATACAGCTTAGTACACAACAACTTATGCACCTAATTTAGTAAAATTTAGCATGCTGATACCTTATATTGCCGGTCAAACAACAGGTTACTTTTCATCCCGGAAAAATGAACAGTTCCCGTGGGATAGATTTGTTTGTGCTTTTCCAGAGACGAACCCGAGCGAAGCGAGGGTGAGCCACTAGTAATATATATAACCAATTATAATAGACATTTGAATATGAAATATTCAATTATAAAACTAATTAAAATTATAAAAATGCTATAATAAAAAAAATATTGTAAGGTGCTATTTTTCAACTTTTGAATTCATTTTGTTTTTTGTGGGTAGGCTAGGCTGTCTGTAACAACTATATAATACCTTTGAGAAATCTAACACCTTAGCCTCTCCCGGGACCATGATTGCTGTAAAGCATTCGAAACGTCGGGAACCAAAAATCTAAATAAATCCGCGAAAAAATCCAAAAAGATAGTTTTATTTAAAATATTTTATTTTTGTTTGTCTATACAGAAATCTCACGACAAGCTTTTATATCATGTAAGTTGTGTAATATAATAAATTGTTGGGTTTGATTTAACGGAGTTTCGTCGGAAAGAACGAATAATTCTTTTTTACTCGTCCTTTAATAGGACGAATAAAAAATAATTATTCGTTCTTTATAAAATATATAAATTACAAGGCAGAACCAATAGACTAATAAATAAAGAGCTCGGCTCAGCTCGGTAGGTTAAGGTTATTTTTTTTTTTGCATATAGAAACTCCTGTATTTCACCTTATCTAAATTAAGCGTGAGCAGATTGCAACCAAGCCAACTTATAATAGCTCCTGGAGAAAATTCTGTGAAAGCCTGAGCTTCTGCCGGTGTTTTACCACTAATAAGAAGTAAAGTATGGTCTGCATAGACTAAAAGTTGACTGTTAGGCAGGTGCAGCATGCAGAGCTCATTTATGTAAATAAGAAAAAGGGTAGGACCAACAACACTTCCCAGAGGGACGCCGAAACAGCCAATTTTTCCTTACTTTTAAATTTATCAATGCATACACACTGCAGACATTCCTCAAGATAGCTTTTAAAATTTCAAATCAAGGCCTCTAACTCCAACGCTATCCAGCTTATTCAACAAAAGCGGTATGAAGACAGTGTCGAAAGCTTTAGCAAGTTCTACAAAAACAGCAATAGACTTAACTTTATTATAAAAATTTTTAGTTAGTTGAACCGAAAAATGATGTTGATTTCAACAGAAAATGCATTTCTTAATTTGGTAAATACCACTACGAAAACCGAACTAATTTTCTTCTAAGATGTTTCTTTGATTCAAGTACATGAGTAGCCTTTTATTGAGATTTTTTTTCAAAAATATAAGAAAAAGAGGTAAGTAAAGATATTGGTCTGTAATTGAAGATATTCGTCCTGTTAAAGTACGAATAATTGTTTTTAATTCTTTCTTATTTTAAGTACGAATAGAGCAACAGCATTCATTCAATTTAATTTATTTTCTTCTTTTTAGAGCATTTAAATAAAAGCTTGTTTTTTAAAATGTTTTGTACTAGGTACTAATTAATTTTTTAGTTTTTATTTTATTCGTATTGTTCTCGCTTGATATTCATATCATGGGGGCGCATAAAAAAAATCTTTGAGGCCCGCCATATTGGATTTAAAATGACGTTTAGTCAAATTTGACTTGAAGATTTGATTATAGACGGTAATTTTCACCGGAACAGGTGAAAATGAATAAAAGTTTGTAAGGATAAATCGCCATTTTGCGACGTCCGCCATATTGGATTTACAATGACGTCACTTTACTCATCATATTTCGCTTATCTAGCCCCTTTATTTGATACCCATATCATATTTTATTTTTTAGTCATTCAGATAATAACAACCATAAGTGCAAGTGGTTTGCCAAGAATGAAAAGTTTTAAACATTCCCACCGTGCCAGCCCTGTTTCTAGCACTTTACTGAAACTCATAAGCACTGCTTACAACGCCATTTGCCACTTATTCTATTTGAATTGACGTCATTCATCTAATAAAGAGGTAAAGTTTGTGAATTGTCAGTTTGTGAGTTTGTGACGTTGTAGGGGGTAACCTCTGGATCTACAGAACCGATTTGAATGAAATTTGGTAAGAAGATAGTCTGAGAACCTAGGAAGGACATAGGATTCTTTTTATCCTGGAAATCATCCCTTAAGGGGGTGAAAATTGGGATGAAATTTTGTATGGGGAATCAACGTAGGGACGAACCTGAGCGGAGCGAGGGTGAGTCGCTAGTACAATAATAAAAGGACTATGCACCACATGTCTTATTAAGAAATTAAGAAAATTGTAAAAATAATTGTTTTATTTTACGCATCTTTTAAATTACCTAATAGATTGTTGAGAATCTGACTGGAAGAATTTTACTTTTATTCAGTTAACTGAATAAAAGTAAAAATTTTCCAGTCAAATTCTCAGAGAATCCACAGAGTACACTATATGATTTTGGTGGTGTTCCAGGCCCAGGCCTTCCCAACCTTGTGGCGACAAAGTGGCCTTTTGGCAGGTTTTTAGTGGGTACGTTGCCGCGCGCTTACCACCTTTGCGTGGCAGGAGCCCCACATAACCCGTTGCGCTTCCCCAGGCGGACGGGTTTTCCTGACTTTGAAAAAAAGGCCCAGGCCTACCTGATATAGCAGAATAATGGTGTAATAAAATATATAAATACAAATATGAAAAGTATTACATAAATTTTTATGGCCATTTAGCGGATAGAAATATTCATGAAAATTCCCTTAGTATAAAAGACTAGTGCATGAATATTATGTATATGGATGTATTCATCCCTTTTTAACGTCCCACTGCTAGGCACGAGACTTCACATGTCTTTTTGAAAACTTGCTAGGTTCTCTCAGACATGCAGGTTTCCTCACGATATTTTCCTTCACCATTTTCACCAAGTGGTAATCATATTGGAAATGCAAAAATAGCAGAGGTGCAATACCCGGGATTTGAACTCGCTTCATTCGGTTTCCCAAGCGAGCATGTTACCACTGGGCTACCACTGCCTCGATATATTATGTATACTATATACATACATACTAAAATTTAATGTATAAAAACTAAAAAAAACCGACTTCCAGGCACTAAAATGTAAAAAATAACTAAACGGAGGTTTTCATTTAGAATAGATATCTAATCAGATATTTTCAGAGTCGGTGCCAGCCGACAATATTTTAAGATCTAATAAGTAAACATGTATTTTACGTATCGAAATATATAAGATTTGCTTTGCATCGGCCAATTATTTTTTACATTTTAGTGCCTGGAAGTCGGTTTTCTATTTTAGTGTAGACGTAATAAGCAGGTAATTTGTAAGAAGAAAGTTTTTAATAACATATTCGATTAAATGATTTTTTTAAAAATATAATTTATAGTTCATTTTTTTAAAATCTGCTTGACCGGATTCGATAAAATTTATATGGGGCCACCTGAGAAGTATACCCTTTAATACAAAAAAAAATCCAAATCGATTCAGGCGTTTTCGAGTAATCGGTGAACATACATAAAAAAAGATTCCGACGAATTGAGAACCTCTTCCTTTTGGAAGTTGGTTAAAAACATATTTATATAATAAATATTAATATTGTTCACATATACTAGGTAATTATAATTATTACGCATAAATTGTCACATATCCAAAAGGTGACTGAGGGCATCTTTATCAGTAGGTAACATAAATACGTTGGTGGTGACATTTAAACCTCAGATCGCTCGAGATCCCGTTAGTAGTACATTTGTACAATTAAATTAAAGTATTTTATTTCGTAATAAATAATAATTTCAAACTTTGTACAATGTTAGCAATTAAATTAACTATTTGTTTATTAATTCTATACAACTGTGGACTCCTTTATGGCATGAGTAAGTAACTTAACATTATTTATATTTAACACTTAAAACATTGATATTATATACATATAAAAAATATAGATACACATTTCCTAACAAATATCACTTCGAAAAGTGGCATCAACGTATAGACTTTTTTTTTGTCAACTTTACACTAAATTTCCGATCGACTTTTTTTTTTAAGTTTAGTATCGCTTACTGAGTCACAAAATGCTGACAGATTCCGGTGGAGCTTCAGGCGCCATCTTGTAAAAACGTTTTTGATCGATATCTCGGAAACTATGCACTTTAAGGCAAAATTCATTAAAACCGTTTTTGTAAAGAATAAAATTTCGCATCTTTTGTTTCCTGTAATTTTTTTTTTGTAAAATTTATTTACATTTCAATTAAATTAAAAATTATTAAAATTTCAATAATACATACATTATATATTTCAATAATACCTTATACATAACACAAAATATTTTAGTGGGTTTACCAGGATTATATTTTTAACAATTTAGTGCGGTAAAATCACTAATTATCGTGAAAAAATCAAAATTTAGTAAAAGTGCAAGTCGCTCATCTATATACATATATGTATCTATGTAGATATACATACATTTAATGACGACGATATCTCCAACTCTTCGCTCTGTTACTGTCACTCTCTTACACCAGTGTTTTAAATATAAAGAGTATAGATATATTATGTGTCACAGTATCACTGAATAAACATTAAAATAGAGGACTTAAACATAGCTATTGTCATAACAGGGATTGATATTTCGAATTGTATTTTTATTTTTAATCTCGAGTTTCATCATTTCTGGTTAATATTATTTTTAAGAAAGCTTATATTAAGTAATGTTATTGCGGTTCATTTTTCTGTGCTATTGAGCCTGGAAATGTCTCTATCATGAATTTATGACCGTATTATTAGACAAGGTCACACGTATGTATGATCAAATAAATTTTATATTAAATAGAATCATGCGACGATTGTATGGAGAGGCAGCTGTGTCAGGATGTTATGCATTGGCCTTCAGAGGCAATAAGAGAGGAATTGTCAAAGTCATTATGTGGAATAAAAAAAGCTGATGACGGCAGAAGATCAATTATGGTAAGGTCTTACCTAAAAATATAAACTTAAGCCAGTGATTTCGTTTTGGGATACTAGTTATAAGTTTATAACTTATTTTCTACTGATAAATAACATATTAATATCCTGCAAACCGAATTTCTATTAGAGCCGCCAATCTCTCTTAAATATATCTACTGGTATTCTATAAATGCATGTATTGGAAATAACACGTAAAATTTTCTTTTTCAAAAGTTTCACAGATGTGAATAACGGAAGAAGAGAAAACTCTACATCTACATATAATACAGCAACTACATATAATACATAACTCTTGTAAATAATTAACTTTTTTTAAATATATCTGTTTTTTTATAAACTAATCTATAATTCACTAATTACTTTAACCTGTTTAATTTATATAGATTTGCTGCTCCGATTTTGCTCCGAATGTACTCGTAGATTCGCGACAGGGTGAAAGAGTGGAAACTGAAAATAACATTGATAATCACTCCAATATAGGCCTACTTCCGGAAAATTGTGGCAAGCAGTTTGATGACCGCATAATTGGAGGAAATTTTACAGGCATATACGAATTCCCGTGGATGGCACTTATCTCTCATGTTGACAAAGACTCCAATGGTATTGTAATTATTTAAATATATATATATATATATATATATATATATATATATATATATATATATATATGGAAATATATATATTTTTTAAAGTCAATATGTAAATCCTCTCTTATGTTATCCTATAGGAATAGAGAAACGACAATTTAAGTGCGGGGGAACAATAATCAGCTCTAGATATATTTTGACCGCCGCACACTGTGTCTCGGAGAAGACGATCGCGGGTGTACGTGTCGGTGAATTTGACATCCGTTCACGTAGAGATTGTCAAGGAGAATGGCCAAATTATGTTTGCGAAGACCATCTGCAAGTATGTGTATATATATAGTATCTTCTGTAAAAAAATAATATTATTTTTAATTGAAATAACATTAATTTTTAAAGTTATAATTTCTGAGTATCACCCTTATAAAGAATATTCTCTTTATTTTCTAACATGATCTGTTGATAAATTTAGGACCAAAAAAATAAAATAACCATAGTGTTTAACGTCCAATCTACCTATCTATACCTACATATAATTAAATTCTGAGTCGAATCTGTACATTAAGTATTTTTTGGAAAATCTTATTGAAATAGTCATTATTATCGATACAGAGGCCGAATCTATAGTTTTTAGAATTTTTGTCTGTCTGTCTGTAACCGCATTACAGAAAAACCACTCGAGGGATTTGGATGAAATTTGGTATAGTGATAACTGGTTATCCTGGTCAACATATAGGATACTTTTTACCGCGGGAAAATGTCTCATTTCTGAGAAAAAATACAAAAACTGCAACGTAATAGTATACTAATATGTAAAACCTAAGAATTTGAGTTTTGGTCATCTAAACGTGGGCGGAGCCGCGGGAAATGCTAGTTGAAATATACATTTCAACATTTTACAATTGACTTGTAAATATGTGAATAATTTTTAAATTATTATTATTTATCTAGAATCTCCGTGTGGAAAAAGCAATAATTCACGAGGCATACAGCACAAGCCCGAGAGTCATAAATGATATTGCAATACTCCGAGTCAACAAAGAAATCGACTTTTCGTTTAGTGAGTATTCTAAAATTTAGTTATAATCTATAATTTAATATCTATTGTAATACTGTTTTGATCTACCTGCTACCACCGTGGTAGAATATTATTACCAATGTTGCACAAAAAAAAATTAAAATATTTCTAAAAATTTACATTATTTTATCAACTGACTTCAAAAAGGAGGAGGTTCTCAATTCGACTGTATTTTTTTTTATGTTTGTTACCTCAGAACTTCGTCATTTATTAACCGATTTGGAGAATTTTTATTTTGTTTGAAAGGGTATACTTTCAGATTGGTCCCATTTAAATTTCAAAAAAAATACCACCCCTAAAGGTGGAAAACTATCTAATAATGAATTTAACCTACTTCTAATTGTCATATTGACTTGAAACTTTACAAGTGTTTCTATTTCCGTTGATAGTACAGTGGTTCGGTATTGTTGACCTGATCTGATGGTAAGGCCAGAAGGTGGATAGGTGGAACTCTTCAACGATTAATAGTAGATACTTTGAGTTTGGGCTTATTTTGTTTGGTTTGACAAGCCTAACACTTTAGAATTCTTACTTTGCTACTACTGCCTACACTAAAAAGAGAAAAATAAAAACTTTTGTAACAAAAAAATAAAAACCGACTTCGAACAAAAGCACTAAAAAGTAAAAAATAACTGATTGGTAGTTTTCATTTACTATACATACCTAATCAAATATTTTCGAAGTCGGTGTGCTTTGCTTTGTATGGGTAGGCACCGATTTCGAAAATATTTGATTAGGTATGTATTTAATAGGTAGGCTTTAATTACTTAGCCAAAGCACAAGGACTTCGAAAATATTTGATTAGGTATGTATAGTAAATGAAAATACCAATCAATTATTTTTTACTTTTTAGTGCTTTTGTTTGAAGTCGGTTTTTATTTTTTTGTTAATTTAACACCAACTTGTTTTGATTGTTGCGGTCCCTATAAAGCGTGACAACTGTTAAATTATACATATTATATTATAAAATAACTGAAGCTCTTACGGGGCGAGGCTATTTTTCTATATTATACATATATACTGAGCACATATTTTATTTATTTATTAGAAGACTATTGTGATTTGCCTTAATTAAAAACTAAGCCCAAGTTACTGCATCTACAAGCCATCGAAGAACGTTAGCAATAACTTACGAAGTATTCCAATTTTTGAAGATATGAATACCAAAAAATAATAATAATCGAAATTCATTTTTCTCAACATTTCCATTTCAACAATGAAATCACAAGCATAAATAAAAAAATGCAGTTTTATAAAAATCCACTAATAAATTCTGAAGTTTTAAGGAAAATTACTAAAATATCCTTTATTGTTTGTTTTAGAAAATGTCAAGCCGATTTGTCTACCGATATGGAAAGAACTCCGTAACGTTAGTCTCAGTGGGAAGCGAGCTACAGTCGCAGGGTGGGGTGTTACAGAAACCGGAAAAGCGTCTAATATTCTTCAAAAAGTAACTGTACCGATTATGGCAGAAGCCAATTGTGCTGAATTCTTAGGAAGGTAAATCTAATTATTATTTTTTATGCGTTTAGTAATTTTATAAACAAAATTGCGATATAATGTATATGTCAATCTATTACATTAATTATATTTCCAGATACTCTGACCCACGAGAACACACTCTTAAGAATTTTTGCGCTGGTGAAATCGGGAAAGATTCCTGTAACGGTGACTCAGGAGGTCCTCTTATGTTGTTTGAAGTCTATAAAGACAACTACCGCATGATTCAATACGGCATCGTGTCCTACGGCCCGATACAGTGCGGCTCTGCATCGCCGGGAGTGTATACGGATATTACTAAATACATGAAATGGATTTTAGATAATATTAAAGAATAGTGTAAAAAATCCAATTTTGTAATTTAGCAAATTATGCAATAAAGTATTTAAAATAATACGTTTTACATTCTACTTATTAAAGCTTTTCTCGATTTTAACATTGAAAATGTTGTTTTTGTCGCTTCAGTGTAGGCCCGATTTTCAGCGAAAGTGCGATATCGCCCTGGTGTCGTGGATTTTGGGACTACGTGGTTGATTAGTATGTTCAAAGATGCGTCTGAATGAGGGCTCAAAGGCTTTTCTTTTTAAATCGAAAAAATGTGAACAATGCGGTCACTTTTCGCTCGGTTTCTGTCAGAAAAATCCGGTAATTACCGGATTAGATTAAAATTAGAGCAGCAACTGTGTTTGCTAGATCTGCTAGGGAATCGGTATCCATATCTTGAATACCACTGATAACCTCTGACTACGCGTTTGAATTTAATCTATTGTATTCCACCTTAAAGTTTCCTTTACAATGACCTATACCCAGGCCCAGTCGTTAAAAGTAGCAGGCATAGACTGACAGATAGACTATAATATTAAAAATTCTATATGACAACATGTAAATTCAATGGAAATTAAAACATTAAATAAAAGCAAATTTTTTATTCCACGCGCCGCTCCAATATTTTAATCACGAGCAAAAAGCTATGACAAAATAAGAATGGCACTTTATATATGTAACTTAAAGAGATGGATGTACACGTGATGTACGAGTATTTAAAAATTATGTAGATATTAGCCTGTTAGTATGTTACTTAAAAATCCCTTATTAGCCGAGTTACATGATTCTAAAGTCGTATACATTGTATACGAGTTGTATCATTGTACTCTATAAAAAAAAAGAGTAGAAAAATGTGCATTTGTAAAAAAATAGAGGCAGTGGAGCTTGCTAAATACGAGTATGTATCTAAAATGAATACTTATTTAGCGAGTATACGTTTAACATTTTTTTTAAATCCTGGATATTTTGAGTTACGATCGCTAAAATTAAATTTGTTTTCAATATATTTTTAAGAAATAATATGAAACACGAATTTATTTTTGCAAATAATAAAGCATGTATTGCGAAAAAGTTTGTTTTTATTCGTAGTTTGATCGCGAGTGAAGCCGTGGATTCTACACTAGTATATAACTATATATAATAATTAAATAAACTAACTTAAGGCGATTAGTACCCTCGAGGGCTAGCAAAGAGCTACTTTCTAAAGCGTATTTCTCGTTTATGGCTTAACCGAAATGCTTGAAAAAAATATATGTGAATCATCAACTCTTAAACAATATTTTCATTTGAAAATTTTTTTCGTGGGATGAAAATATCTATTACTTTTTTATTTCAAAGAAATGGTATTTTTTTGACTTGCCTTTCCTACTGTTTCTAAACGGCTAAGAATTTTGGAATCATTTAAATACTAAAAAATAATATATCTATTTTACTTTATGTCCCATGAAAAAAATTATAAATCAATTACTATTTTCCTATTTTAAAAGTCAAAAATGCTATTTACAAGCCTAGAAGCTATAGAAGTGCTCTGCGCGGGCGCGGGCGGCAGTCGCGCGCTAGCGCTCAGACGGGAGGGCTTTGTCACTTTTTGTCTCCTGTATTTTACGATGTATTTATGCATTTATTGTTTATGTACACAAGTATTTTTGTATGTATGCGTGCAGAGAATAATCGCTCGCAGACAGATAAATGTGTAGTAAAGTACGCGCTTGGACGCTGTAGAAGATTTTAATTAGTTTAATGTAAAAATTAAGTTCTATGAAGGTATAGTTATTTTTATTTTTATCTATACATATAATAAAATTGTAACTAAGCCAAATCTGTATATTCAATATTTTTTGGAAAATCTTATTGAAATAAACATTATTATCGATACAGAGGCCGAATCTATAGTTTTTAGAATTTTTTCTGTCTGTCTGTCTGTTACCGCATCACGGGAAAACCACTGGATAGATTTTGATGAAATTTGGTATGATGATAGCTGGTTATCCGGGTAAATATATAGCATACTTTTTACCGTGGGAAAATGTCGGTAATTTAATTTCATCTGCCTACTTGAGTTTATTTCCAGTTTTGTGATTTCAAATATTATATTTTTTATTTAAAAAATATTATTAGTAGATTTAATTTAAAAATCTCTTTGGTGGTTGTTGAGTGACGAGAAAGCACAAATAAAAGATTACGTCACTAATAGAATTATAATGAAAAATTCAACACACACTTAAAAACAGTACAGAAGGAAAGTTTAGGGAAATACACAATGACACAAAGAGTTTCAGTACAAACATAAAAAGTCCACATACAATATCTTACGAAAACGATTAAATTATATTAAACAAAGTAACAAGTAATTGGCATCGAACGGCAAAGCATACTGTTTGTTAGTAAAAAGTTACAAGTGGCCGGTAGGAGAAAAACAAATTCCGATCTTCCGCATACTACGGGTTTCGCGCGGCTATGCTTGTGGATTTAATATATATGAATAATTAATAAATATAAATAATTATGTGTACGTGTATGTAGATGCGTAGATAATATAAATACGTAAATTAAATATATAATAAAATATAAATATTATTGAATGGAAAGTTTAATATATAAATATGATAAATTTAATATATTATAGTATAAGTCACCTACGATCTCAAATTTATAAGGGTCACATACCACCCTTATAAATTTGAGATTGAAAAATATTTTATTGTTAAATTTAATAGTATACGAAATCCGCATTCGGATAAAAAGTTTAGTTAAAAATAGCTACTTTATTTTTTGTAATAAAAATAATTTAATTCCAGATTACAAAATTATTAGTTAAAAAGGATAAGTTAATAAATAGTCACTAACCAAAAATTGAAGTTAAATTAAATATAATCAAATAAGTTATAAATATGATCTGTTAAAATACAATGAAATGAAATATTCTTTATTGCACACCATTATTTTACATTATATAGTTAAACAGATTAAAGGAATATAGTACAATAGGCGGCCTTATCGCTAGAGAGTGATCTATTCTAGGCAACCTTTGGGTAGAGAGAAAGAAGAGAGAAGGAAGGAGTGCAAACAATCTTAAAGAGAGATACAATAAATACATACATATACAAACAGATATATACATACATACCATATATATACATACATACACACATATAAACATGTGAGAGATGGATAAAAAAAAGAACAGACAGCTATTTTTAAAGTACACATTTATTTATAGAAATATTAATCAACTGATTATTTAATAAACAAAGATATAACCATATTGGTAGATAACAAAAATAATTGTAAATTAATTCATGGGTAAAGCAAAAGTTACTTATAGTTACTGAAAATACCTTTAAATAATTAATTATTATTCTAATATTATATTTAATACTAAACATCTAACTGATATCTAAATATTTTAGTCAATATGTCAAGAATTCAATGATCACAACAATTATAATGTAATAATTTATATAGTATTATAACTATACAACGATTATATAAATAATTATCATAATCATTATTATAATTATATAAGTAATACAGAGATTACCTGTTCGGTAACTCGGTTAAGTCAGAGCACTTATAGGAAAGTGCCGTGTTCGCAGTCGAACAGCTTCTGACCCAACGAAACGGTTTGTCCTTTGTTTTTATAGTCGAATGTCGTAGTGGGAGTCACTTGATAATAAGACTGTCAAATGACTTACTCTTAAAGCACGGAAGGAAATGCTAAAAATTTAATTAAATACTTTTTATCTCCGACACGGCCATTCTGACGAGCAGCCTACCATGGCTCGCGAATACTCAAATATTTAATTTAATCAACGTACAGATCGCAAGTTCCAAATGCCAAATCACATGGCAACATTAAATAACATGGCGTCCACAAAGGTCCAGCCTCAAAGTCAAATGCCATGTTACATTAAAGTAAACTAAAAAGATGGTTCACTAATCACAATTTATCCACATTAGTCTAATGCGAAAGCTCTACCATATAACATGGTGTAACTGCCATAAGGCTCTACAATATAAAATGGTGTAATTGCCACAAGGGCTCTACCATATAACATGGTGAAATTGCATGGTGAAATTGCCACAAGGGCTCTACCATATAACATGGTGTAATTGCCACAAGGCTCTACCATATAAAATGGTGTAATTGCCACAAGGGCTCTACCATATAAAATGGTGTAATTGCCACAAGGGCTCTACCATATAACATGGTGTAATTGCCACAAGGCTCTACCATATAAAATGGTGTAATTGCCACAAGGCTCTACCATATAAAATGGTGTAATTGCCACAAGGGCTCTACCATATAACATGGTGTAACACAATATGAATTTAATAAAGTTATTTATCAACCATTCCAGCGTACAGAATAATGTTGGCAAGGCATCAACTGTACGTGGGCTAGTCAAAAAAATGAGTAAATAAATAGATATATTATAATAAATTATATTATATATTTCGAAGAAAACAAAAATTAGAAAGAAAAAAAATAGTTATACAAATCATTCAACATCTAAAGAGTCTATTAATTCACAACCAAAATCTGAAGGTACATGACGCAGATTTTCATGAGATACATATAATTCATTTCCTGTACCATGTACTCTAATGGTATATCTATCATTATCATGTACTTGTGTAACAACACATAGACCTTTAAACTTGCTGTCAAGCTTATTTATTGTCCGAGGGTTCTGTTTAATTAATACTATATCACCAATTTTTAGAGGTATAATTTTGGCTTTAGTTTTATCAAATTTCTCCTTTATAATATTCGCTTGTACTTTTATATTTTCTTTTGATAACTCACGGCAAGTTTCTAGATCCAAGCGTGTCACGTCATTTATTAAGGCAGCTATGGCTGGAGGTGACCGATTGCAACCCATAAGAAGCTGAAAAGGGGTGTGACCGGCACTTTTATTAAGCGTGCTGTTAATAGCTAACTGTATTTCACCTATAGCATCTTTCCAGCTTCTTTTTGTAGTATTTTCAACGATAGTAAAGCAATTTG